ACCTAGTCATGGGTGTCATTCTTTTTTCCATTTTCATACGACGGATCAATATTACTGCATGTTTTTGCAACACTGGGAGCGTGGGTATGTTTCCTGCGTTTGTTGCTCTTTAGGAGCCATAGTGCCTGTAAACTACCTATCCTTGTTGGATTTCGGAGAATGGAAATGGATTAGGGCCCTGTTGAAATGCCAGTCGTGGACCCCGCCGTACAAATGGGGCGCGACAGGGTAAACGGAGGGGTCAACAATTGCGACTGACATATATTCAGTCCAGGCGTACGTAGGCAGGCAAAAACACGTAGTTTGCTTGTAAAATTGTATATACAGGGCGACTTACGCAAGGAACGTGCCCGCGCATCCTATACTGAAAAACGTGCAGAACTCTTGATCAGTCCTGTTAAAATCAAGAAACCATTGACCTGTTGGACTGGGTCATGACCCCGTCCGTTCTTATTAGAAACAGCATTCAGGAAGGAGCATGGAAAGCCAGGCGACTCCCAAAATCAGTCTCTTGCATATCTTTTATGTCGCTGCCCACCAATATTTACGTCGCATTGTTATTGGATGTCACTTTTCGGCAATCTCATCTCTTTCACATATTTGGCCCCATTTAGATTATTTAGGCGGTTGCGCTTATAATTTCCAGTTTACAGACACTGTATGCACTATGTTTACTTAATCTTCACATTTGTTTTATTTCGTCCTGCTATCGAAGCTTAGCTTGGTAGATGGAAACATTATAATGTAATCTATCTACCATGGCATGTCCTTGGCCTTGACTCCTGGCTAAGGTGCATTGGGCCACCGGATTTGTTGCATCCTATTCTCTACACACCACCCTCAACTATCAGTTTGGGTGTTGGACAGTGTAAATATTCAAAAACGTTTGCGAACCTTTTGCCAGAAAACAACAATCTATCCAATTTATATATCTGCAAGCTATCAGCGATTCACCCGTAAATACTTCAGCGGTAACTTTTTGGGTAGAGTTTTGTCTCTTTGTCAACTGTTCTGCTGCTAAGCTACCTACTATAATCTGCGCAGTATTGTAGTGCTTAATTTCATAACCACGTGCACACCCACAGAAGTGAATCCAGATATCCCCCTAGTGAAATAACCGAAGGGTTGTTATAACCAAAGGTAGGGATGGGTTGACACTTACCACTGGTGAGTAACACGGTTGTCTTTTTGGCAGTCGATCAAAAAGTATCTGTAAAGAACGTGCCCTCTACCAGTTCCTTCCATATTTTAAATTTTGTTTTCGTTGTAGATATCCAAGAATGAGGGTTGTAAGACACACTCATTGTTTTTCTGGCACGCTTGCATTGTATCAGAAAAACAAATTGGCTCCCTGGTACTGCACCCATGTAAAGCTGCCATCGTCAGTATTGTGTTATTCTATTAACTGCCGGAGCACGGATGACAAAACATTTCATCATCGTAGCGTAAATAACAGATGACCATGCGGCGTATTTCACTCATTCTGAGAGGTAGGCTTCCAAAATTGCAGCGATTTGTCTTACTGTGAACTGTCGTCACGATTGAGTTGACTTCCACACTGTGAATTCAGTCAGTCCGCGAGCCTTGCAAATACAGTTGAATTGAGCTTTTAGACAACTGGCAGTAGGCACCTAAAGTCATAATGCCACGTTGCTAAGCAAAAAACCATTACACAGCCTGAGGGAGGTGGAAATGTACCCACTCTACTTCAGATGAGCACTTACGAATTTCCTCTAACATTTCGTGATGGTATGATATGTTTTGGTTTATACGCACAGGAAACGGAAAAATAAATGTGCAGGTAGAAATCGCCACAAGGCTGTACATTAGAAGACTCTGATAGAGTAGCCATTGAAGTATTTTCGATTGCGGATGCGTCATTCATCATAAAAACCACTTTAATGACGAGCTGTGCGACACCGTGGTTTGCATACTGAGAGGAGGGCAACGCTGGATGCTCACCCATTTGACTCAAAAAAGGGACAATGGCACCCCAATAGTGTATGAAAAAATGTCAAAGCCACATCAGAATTAATATAACCTCTTTATTTTTCTCACTTATTAGTTGGAATTTGCGATGCTGACAGCATTACGATTTCTCGAACAGCCACAATCTCCGCACTGGTAAAAGGCTTTATAGTCCGACTTACATGTGAAGATGGCATCGAAGTTCCCCTTCCTTCCGGAGTCATTTGAATGCCGGAAATAAGGGAAGAGGCTTGATATCAACGGCCCATTTCAGGAGGTAAATATTGTGCACCATTGCTCCATACACCTTGCCTTCCCATAAGTCCTCGTTTTAACAGGTGGGTTATATTATCCGAATGCTTGGTAATGTGTTATGCAGAGTAAAGTCCCAGCGTGCCCTCAGAACGGGCCACGTGTTAGATGCGCTGGGCCAACACGGGGGCCACATCGGACTCTGGCAGGCGTTATCTATGCGCAATAACAAATGCCAACATTTGCGGGGTTGACAGGCAGTTAATCCAAAACCACGATCTCTTTAATTTCCACATGTGCAATCTTTTAGCGGTTTATCTGTTAGTGCCTTGACGGTAACCTATGGGATACAGTCTTGCCTCTCTGTCAAACGTCCGCAGCTAAGCCACTTATTACAATCTGGTTAGGATTTTAATTCTTAATTTCATACCCATATGCACTCCTACAGATGAAAAATAAGCTATTCAGAAGCCTGTGCATTTCCCGGCTATCCACGCAGTTGTAACTTTTAAAAACTTTTTAGTAAGAGTTTACTAAGCGAAGTCTAATAAAGTTGAAAAATAGATCACATGTTCTTATCCGCCATTTGATGGCGTATGTGATTGGCAAAACGAAATTTTCAACGCTGGAAATGATTATCATGCTTTTACTGAACTGATATTCAGAGCCCGGACACAAGGTTACTTAAACCCAGCTGTTGTTAAGCTTTCGGGAGTAGTCGAAGCCGTCGTCACACAAACTGAGTCCAACGTAACTGATTTTAATGTGTATAGTTATTAATCGAATATCTTCCAAAGCGTCTTGTGTTGTCACCGAATATAATTTCTCTCCCCGCATCGCCTTCGGAAGCAGATTTGTCATTTGGTACTAAATGACTAATTGCATCAGCGTAGACTTTTCGTTTACGGGCACATGCTTGTGACGGTGATCCAAACTTGCATCATCCATAGATTGCATCGTTTCTGGCCTATAGGACACGTGTCTGCACGCGCAATATTGCCTTAAGGCAGAAAATATCTTATGTCGCGTCCTGCGTGTATCATTACGGCCTGAACAATTTGGTTCCATGAACCCTTCATGTTACCAAACTAAAAATAAAACAACCTTAAAACAGACTCTTTTGATTTCGATGACCAAATGCAGGGGAGAGAGGACAATTTTTCACGGAGTCCACACTTCCTGACCTCGACGATGTGATGGAGATACAAATCCGTTGGAAACCCTTCACGGGGGCACATTTGATAAACTTGACAGAGGGTAGTATCCCGAGTGGTCGTAATATTTTGTGGACGTATCGTAAACCACCGCCTCACTGAGATGGTCTCCGCAGGGCTTTCTTGCACCTTTCTTGAGAGACTGAATATGTCGTTTAACCACGTTTTAAGGACATTTCTGTTTTGTGTATGTGCACTCGTCTTAATGTTAGCGGACCTCCTGTTCTGGCTGACGATCCTGTGAATGCGCCTATGACGCGGACCGCAACAATAGTCTTACTTATCAACACTAGCTGCCGCTTCTGGCAGAATCAACCTTTGAATAAATTGAAAGAAGAGTCTTTGCATAGTGGTACTCGCGTCGTTGAAAGAAAATCTTTCTCAAGGGGGTATCACAGAGTTCAAAAAATCCCCAAACTTTCCCCCTCCAGCCAAACTACTTACTCTTCCAAAGTGAAAATTCGTCAATTTCCATCTATACTCTTCCCACATCGATGAGTCTTGTCAATATGGGCAACACTGTCGAAAGCAGAGTAAAATGTGCTATTCTGCAGAACTGAATCATACAACTCAGTCATACAATTGATGTCTGTTTTGTGATAGATTTGTTATTAGGGCCACTCAGGGTTTATATACCTATAACGTTTAGTGTGTATAAAATACCAGTAATCAAAGCTAGTATTGTGTTGGTTGTCTCTGAAATGTGGGCCGATCGAATCAAGCAATTTTTTAAGGGCAACGTTTTAGGGGAACCTAAGCAGCTTCTGGTATTTCACCATCGGACTACAAAGCAAAATAGTAAACGTCTTACAAACGGACTTTAGAGAACTACAGACAACAATCTTTACTGTAGTTAAGAAAGTTCAATCATCGCGCCGACTACCACCCCGCTTGGGGTCTATTATTTCGGCGAAAATGTTCTTTGCGTACTTCAGAATTTGTGGTCCAACGTGGAATTGCTCGCAAAGCTAGGAAAGCTACGAGACTCCCGTTTTGTTATTTGTATGCAATTTTAACGCTTTCAGCGTTCGTCTGTATCGACATCGGTTTAACAAATTTTCCTGAAAGAAACATATCGAGTGGTTTAGACTACTCTAACTGAAGGGGCCTTATTAAAGCTACCCAAATCACAGAAAATGCTTTCTACTTAACCTAGTTTCCTCTTTAACTGCTACGAAATCAGTTAAACGGTACAGATACTAAGGTAAATGATATTATATGCAGTAGAGGAGAACTCAGGAGCGAGTTGATCATATGTGTTTTTTGTGAAAGTTATCTGTCGGAGTGTTGAGATTCTGGGGCTATAACGCTAGACCTATATTAGAATAACTTCACTTACTTGCGGCAACTTGGTGACTATGTTGAGTTGGCTCGTGCATGTGCAACTTGTACATTTCAATATTTTCCAATTTGAAAAAAGCGGAATTATAATGCTTTAGTGCTGCGGGGAACTTCCTGTCGTGCAAACCGTGATATCGTCTACAGTTACTTAGAACTGTTCTAAAAACGCCTTTAGGTTCCAATTTATGGTTCTAATTTTCTCAGACTTGATTTATTTTGGAAGTCCGGATACTTGCCCTGGCCTTGACAGCAGATGACAGTTCGCAGTCGCTTTGATAACGGTCACTGTAGTGCAGTCGCAACAGACGTCTCGCCGGAGGAGTCCGGAGGTACAGAGTCACGCAATTTCGTTGAGTTTTACCTCCAGTGTTAAAGTCGCCGACTTAGGAAGTTAATCAGGAGGCGTTTGCATGTTTTCATGGCCTGACTCGTCTCGCAGTTGCCGTTCAACGAGTTCTGGGGAAACCAACACACTTTGGAAATCCAAGACGAAATGAAAATCATGTTTTGCAATCGGAACATATGGATGGACGTCACGCATATGCGATTGAGTTTTATCAATCACCGTCAACAGAATCTGAGCTCGCAGCTAAAACAAATGAGCAGCAGTCTGTGTGACTAAGTTGTCCCTGATTGGGACCTCTTGTGATTTCAACCTATGTTTTTCGTATGCCCAACTGACAACTTGGCCAAACTTTCGTCCGTACGCCGGTTGCTTGATTACGACTATGCTGATAGTATCGTTCTAGTAGTGCCGGGCTGTGTTGAACGGCGAACTTCAGTTCCATAAAATCACCAAGTCAGTCGTTTTTTCCTAAAGTATGAAGTTGCTGTTAAATGACATGAATTATATGGACACCGTCGATTGAGTTCGTGTTGTTCACAGGGCTCGCTCAAGCCCTAGAGTATTTATGAACCGGTTGTCAAGCTTCCACAGTTACGAAGATCCCCGTCCGGCCAGTCCTGTACAATTGCGAATGCTGAGCTGTGCGTGTAAAGGGCCAATGAAAGCTGAAGGTCTTGGCTTTCTTTGGACGAAGCATACCAAAATTTTCCTAACGAGACAGTCCTTAGTACCGCAATAGCAAGTCGCTTTAGGGCAGGACCGTCAAAAACATCATCCGTCCACCAAGGCAATAAAATTCGAAATTTGCAAGGTTTAAGCAGATTTATTGCCTGGAGCAGCTTTATCCCGTCTAACTTCCTCTACAGCAACCAACCCTTTGCTCATTTTCTGATAAGAAGCTACATTACGTCATGCTTGTGAGCTTCCCAAAGGACCCTTTGGGATGCCCGTCTTCCAACTCATACGTACATGTATATGTAGAATATTTGTGTTTGGTAGCTAAGATGGCGAAAATCACACCGACTAGGGATTGACCTTAAGGGCGTGGTTTATTACGGATTTAGATAGTTTTCCCAGTAGGAACAAAAATGTACGTCCCAGAACCTAAACAAGGACCAAAAGAGGATCTCTTAATCAGCGACTCACAGTTCTAGTGGGAAACCTACCCCTCATATAATGCATTGTGTGCATGCGACCCCGGGAATGTCAATAAGTCGGTTAAAACCCTTTAGATGCTAACTAATTACCCTTGGAATGCCGTGCTCGTTTGTGTTTCTTCGTACTTTTGCACGGTTTGTTACTCTGCCTTCTTACTCATCCTCATAGACAAAAACAAAGACAATCAGCAGATCATAAAATCTTCGGCAGCGTGGATTCATCACCGACGATGGAGGGGATTCGCATACAAGCCGACTGGGATAAGGCTATTATGTAAGTGCCGGTCTTCCAGTGGGTGTTTACGAGATTTTGTGTCTTAGCGAGAAGGATTCATCCTTTTGGTTCCACTTATATGACGCTGGTAAGTATGATTTTACGGAAAACGAAAACCAAACTCGGCCTTCAGAGAAAACCTACTATCACAAAATGTTTATCAATCCCGAGGGCGGCCTTGAACCCGACTGTGACCGCGTCAAGTGTTCCGTCGTTACCCCAGTACGTTTATGACCATGAAACGTAGTCGACTAGCACCACTTTCCAGTCGCAAAGTTGTCTATTTTTTCTGTTTTGAAGAAGTCGATCTTGCTGAAGGACATAGACCGGAATCTGCAGACGACTTTTCGGTGCCCAGATGTAAAGTTCTCCACCATACACAAAATCACGAGGCAGGTAATCTTTCAAGGCCTTCTGTGGTATCGTAAGCACTTTTCAACGTAGCCCTCAATGCACCTGAATTCCTTTGATGTAAACAATACCGGCGAATTGGCGGTCTCGGCAGCAAGCGATCAAACCGTGCTTCTTTGGGAAACCAGAACTGGCGATGTTCGGGTAAGACTATTTACTGGGCAAGGTACACTAGATTACGACTTGTAACGCATTTTTGTCTCCTTGAACTGCTTTCTCTAACAGCACCATACCTTTATATGACGATTTCACTATAGCCTGATGGCATGTGTAGTTGATTGTTCCATCTGCCTTTACATTTGTATGTCAGTGTTATTTTAAAGACCGCACAATGGACGTCCACGCCGCAGCTAAGGCTCAAGGAAGTTGTAGCTTACTCTCGCTATCAATTGCCAGGAGAGGCAGGACATATCTAGCCTGCAGTCTTCTAAAGAGCTATCCCGGAAAGGGCGTTCAGCGGTCAGATTACGGAACATAGTAGTACCGTTCCTGGCGTCCTCACAACCGCTCCCATAACAACCAGCAATGATGCGGTACAGAGTACCGTCAAGGGTAGGAGAGACTGGGGTCGGACACGGGTCCCCCACATACTACAGGTGACCTTACGCTAAATTTCCAGCAGGACGCCTGTCCCCATGTCCCTTCCTTAACCCAAACGTTCCTAGCCATAACGCCAACGTCAACCCTAACACCACCCTTCCCTGGTAGGGGACCCCGACCGATCGTTCTTACGGAACTCACTCGTTCCGTTTTGACTTACGGACTCTCTCTCGAGCCCAACCAGCAGCCGCACAGCGGCGCATGATGTAGGCAGTATGTTATTACCGGCAAAGGCAAGGGAAACTGGAATGGCCATTTTCGGCTTATTATCTGTCGTCAACCAGTCATATCCAACGTCGAAGTGTGGAGCACCTGAAGCTCGAAATCGCGGCCTGTTAGTTAGAAGTCCATGCCTCTAACCACTGGGCCACGAGCCCGTTGCCCTGTCGGTTTTCGATCGGGAATATACAATGGTAGGGGGCGCTCACCGATCGTTATTACGGGACTCACTCATTCCGTTGTGACTTACGGACTCTCTCTCGAGCCCAACCAGCAGCCGCACAGCGGCGCATGATGTAGGCAGTATGTTATTACCGGCAAAGGCAAGGGAGACTGGAATGGCCATTTTCGGCTTATTATCTGTCGTCAACCAGTCATATCCAACGTCGAAGTGTGGAGCACCTGAAGCTCGAAATCGCGGCCTGTTAGTTAGAAGTCCATGCCTCTAACCACTGGGCCACGAGCCCGTTGCCCTGTCGTTTTCGATCGGGAATATACAATGGTAGGTGGCGCTCACCGATCGTTATTACGGGACTCACTCGTTCCGTTGTGCCTTACGGGCTCTCTCTCGAGCTCAACCAGAAGCCGCACAGGGGCTCATGATGTAGGCAGTATGTTATTACCGGCAAAGGCAAGGGAGACTGGAATGGCCATTTCCGGGGCTTATTAGCCGTCGTCTGCCAGCCGTGCCCAACCCCGAAGTGTGAAACACCTGAGGCTCGAAATCGCGGCCTATTAGTTAGAAGTCCATGCCTCTAACCACTGGGCCAGGGAGCCCATACTCCCGTGCCCGACCGTTTCTGATTTGTTAACTGTCGTCAACCAACCGTACCCCACCCTAGGTCTGGGTGGCCTTCGCGGCCATGCTCGCCCCTGTTGGGTCTCCATGCGTGATCAAGAGCAGGAGTGCTGACAAGCGCTCGCCAGCACTCTGCCGAAACTCCTTGCGTGCGCCATGTTCCGCATCCTCCGGCCGAAGATGGCAGTCTGCATTTCACTCTGACTGACATAAGAGACTTCTGAACACTGATGTAATTTCTCGCCGGTGCTTCCGGCTGCTGATTTAAGGTCCTCTTGGTTTCTTGCTTTATCAGCTTTTGTAGAGTGACAGATGTTGTACGAAGGCCTTAGTAATATGGTGCCCTTTTAAGGGTTGGTTGTGTGGTCATGACTCAGTTTTTATAGGGTGGATGCAGTTGTTATCACTGCGTGCCCCTCAAATGGGCCATACTGTAGATGTGTTAGACCAACCCGAAGGCTACATCGGATTCTGGCAGGTCTTATCGAGAATGCGCACCAATGACAGATACCAACACTGGATGCGTGTTGGCGCGCCAGGTGCGGACACACGCTGGGCCATTTAAGGTCCTTGTCGCCCCCATTTTTGCTGTTGAAGATCCTAGTCAAATGTCTGTTGTGAACCAGCGGAGTGCTGTAGTACACCCAGGTGCGGGTTCGCACCGTGCCAGCCACATACACGGTCTTCTTGACTCTGTCTTGATGCCAAATCCAGATGGTGGAGGAGGAGGGGGAGGGGGGGGGAGGAGGAGGGGGGGGAGGAGGAGGAGGAGAGGGCGCGGTAGGTGCAGCGCAAGATATCCATCATTATAAGATAATTCACACGCAGTTCACTGTCCCTAATCTCACTCTACGGTGGAGTACGCGATGAGCATCGCCGACAACGACACTCAAACTGTTGTGCTATCCCTAGGCTTATTAAGATGTCAGACAGGCATGCCGAAATAGAATAGAAAGAGTCGATCATCGCGATGGCATCGTTTCCCGCGGATCTTTCGGAAGCTGCATACAGTGCATGACCTAACTCATGAAATGTGTCGAAATTTACGAATGATTGCGAATCCCTCGCAACTCGACTCCATTTCATGAGTCAAATATCTATGGTAATTATGTACAAGTTTAAAAGATTTAAAAACTTAAAGGAAACCTTATAGGCAGTGTTGCGTTGTTTAGAAATGTCGATTTATTTTGAAAAGCCCAATATCCCGAAAACGTCAGAAATGGCTCTAATTAAGTAAAGTTCGTTTTTAGAGGTATAGACCGAATTCTCATACATAGAATCACGTTTAATAACAGCGTTTCAGTGACGTTTGCATCTAAATATGGTTTAATAAGTAGTGTGAATTCATATATGACGGTCTGTCAACTGCCTACACTTTGGGTTTAGATTCTAAAACAGTTTTCCATTATTTCCTTGACTATGTGGAGTTAAATGAGATGGAGTTCAACGAAAGAAGCTGGATTCTGCTTGATTTCGCCGATGGGGACGTCGTGGGATCGAAAGTGTTCATAAGGTGACATGCCACGAGGCCGGCTAATAAATTTAAATAGGACTGACAGGCGTGATCGTTAACATACCATTGTGTGTTTTTAGAGAGAACTCTTTATCCGTTAAGTTTATTTACACTTCTCGTTCGTTTTGGATTACGTTGAGTTTCAGATCGGCCTCGAAATCTTGCTGAATAATTCATGATTTTCAGTTTTTTACCCGATCGCCCATAAAGGCAGATTCTGAATTACCTGTCTGTTCAGAACTTTAAAATAAGATTGTTCTTGAAGGCATTTACCGAATTACTGAGTGTTCGGGCGCCCCTTTTCACGAAACTGGTCGTTTGGGTCACATTTGAAGACTCGTTCAAACATCAAACCTCATTTTCGAGAAAAATAATTGTCCTCAACGAAAGTCACCAACGATTATGCCTTGAATCAATCAGAAAACTTTCCTTAATATGTTACCTCTTTAGGAAGTGCTTTATTACTGCACTTTGTCGACGGATCTCTGTGTACTTTGCATTTTTGCGCGGCGGGGCCAAGTAAAATTTTGACACTTTTGACAGTTTCTTTCACGTTCCTAAGCAATAATAATATTCTCCTACCACAAACGCACGAACATGCCTTTCTCTATACATTGCGGCCATTTCTACTGTTGTTGTTAACTTTTAGACCCCGTTCTTCGATTATGATTGCACCGCAGAGCGCCCATACAAATACTAATATTTTGATTAAACTAAAAATGTTTTGCTCGTTCTATTTCTGAAAAAAGTATGCACAAAAGTTAAAATACTAGAAAAGGAGCGTGTCATGTGTTTAAAGCTGAAAATGATCATTCCGTGGTGGTCATCTATATGACATCAGGTAGAATTTTTCAAAAGACTAAAAAAATTCAGCCCATTTAAACGAAGGAATCTCTGTCTGCGTTACTATTGCACTTTAGGGCACCAATTCGCACAGATCTGCTGATTTGACATAAAGGAATTGACAATTTCCCTGGTTTTCTTAAAATAACCTTTTTGTTAAGAGATTGATAACCATGGTCAACATCGGACACGAAATAAAATTTCTAGTCCGGCAAAATCTGTTTATGAAAAGTCTCGCGAGTAAATTACTATTCTTTCAATGAAAAAGTCGCTCAGGTGCGTAACTGGAGCCTAGGACATGTATTAGCATAGGAAATTGCACGAATATATTCCAAAGTCCATTTTCGCTGAATCTTATGAATATTTTACTTTATATAATTAAGTAAACACAATATATCCACAAGAAAAGGACACTTTATTGAAGGATGTGGATGAGCGAGGAAAATGCGCCACGTTAAAGGCGTCCAAAAATTCTCTTATCAGATTTCATGAGATAGGTCAGGTACTATATGTGCCTGTGCATCAACAGAGGCTGGCCCTTGTGCTGTTTGCGACGGCACTCTCAACCGAACATGCAATGTTTGCTGCCTGGTCCTGGAGAGGGTCGCCATGGTTAACCACTCACGAGGGAAGGGAAGGAGGGTGGGCGACGCGGCCAATCTTTTGGTGAGCTTGGCCACCTGCGAGGTGTGTTCTGCGCCCTCCAATCAACGATAGTTTTTTTTTACTTTGATTAAGCGTTCCCCCGCCCTCCCCCCTGCAGTGGCCGACCTGCGGGGTTTGATGGACTGAATGCGGTTGCGTAGTACGAAACGCCAGAGACGTCTTGATTATTGTTGCATGCCAGTGTACGCTGGTCGGATTTAGGTGTGGTCCCCCACACGAGCCGTGACTTATTGTCGCGTCTCTGTAGGTCTATTACTGCACTGCATCCACCAGAGGTGTTTTTCAGCTGGCACGCGAAAACAACTCTTTGTAGTTATTCTATAACTCACAAACGTATCATTACTAAGGGTTTGTATGACTTTGTACGGATTACCTGAACCGCTCGTCTTTATAACTATACTTTTGAGACGGATGCACATTTATCTTTGGTCTCCTTTTCAAACGCCTACATTCTTCGAGAATGCTACTTTTTGGTTATATCCTATCCAATATGGTCTTGGATGAAAGCTCTTCGATCCAGACTCATTAATGACCCTTAAGTCTGATGCAGATCATCAGTACGCAAATATGACTCCAGCTACGCGTCAACAGATCCTGCCCTCCTCTTGCCTGTTTCAGCGCTCATTTGCTGGGCATGTCAGTGAGGTCTACTGCTGTCGTTTCTTCCCCTCTGGATTGGTTGTTATCACGGGTGGCGCGGACATGCAGTTAAAAATATGGTCAGCCCTCGACGGAGAGTGCGCTGCAACACTGCAACCGGGTTCTGGTGGCGCCGATGGCAGCGGGCCCAAGGAACCGGGTGGACATCGGTCTGGTATTGTAGACGTCGACTTTATCGAGCGGGGAAGGAATATTGTCAGTTTGGATCGGGGTGGTTGGTTACGTCTATGGGACGTCTCCACACAGGTTAGTTTTCCTTTTCCTGTGCCTTTCAGTTTTTCCGCATAGTAGGCACTCATAATTTTGGTGTCTTTTCATTAGTCTATTTTGTCTAGTGGCCTTTTTGGAATCAAACTTCAATACGGAATGGGGAGTCCATTATGAACCTTATGCAGCGGCGACTTTCAGCGTTCATTCCGCACTCAGGAGCTTCCATAAGTCGCACTCTAATCCAGTCATTTTTCCACCCACTGGTTTAATGCGACAAACTGGACTGCAGATCACCAGCAATAATTTGCTCTGTAAAGGCGTGTTTGCAGTTCTCAGAAAACCACCAATACGTCACATATTGTGACCTTCAACAGCAGTAATCGTCTACCTAAAGAAATAATTTGAAAAAACTTTATTTGCTGGGTTTGAGGCGCACCTCACTGTACCAGCCGACGGAAGACCTGGGCTAGCTGGACAAATTGATACTTTTCTTGCCTGAGTAGGCACCAAACGACGACCCGAGGTGGATTTTGCTCGACTGGGTTGTCTGCAGAATTGTCTGGGTAGAAAAAAAAATCTGTGTCAAAAATTACCCATTAAAAGTTTGTCGTAAGGGAGGCCGTGGCGAATGACTTGAACCGCCCGCAGTAAACAGACTTTTTCCGCTATCATCCAGTTTTATGCTGTGAAAATGTTTACTTGCAACAATTAAGTAGACATTATGTTTAATTCTCAATGATAAAGGAGCATCGGTAGTCCACTTTTGTAACTGGGTTATTTGTTGATAGATTATGGCAAGCCCTTCAAGTTAAACACATTATTTTAATAACTACGACCCCATGGTTTGCAAAAACCGACTACTCATTATGCGTACTCTTTACTCCAAACTTGCAGATTGCGATTTCAGCCATGTCCGTGGTGCCGGAGAAGGATGGCGGCAGGGCGCATGTCAATTGCGACATTGAACACGAACCGCAGTGTTGTGCCGTCAAGAATCGCCACTGGTTGTCGACCCCGGCCTGCGATGTTACAGAAGTGCCTTCCAGCTACTGCAGTATGTTTTCTTGCCAACTACTGCGTGTTTGCGCATGAAGTAGAAGTTTTTACGAGTACATTGGCACACTACTTGGGGCGGCCTGTGTATCCCCTCCTTCACTGCCGCCACGCATGCATCCTAGTGGTTTATATCTGATGCCTGGGAAATAATTATTTAGACAAACCAACACTACCGGGCAGCAAAAGCAGTCTGTTCATTTACAGTCCACCACGCACCCCGTTTCCATCAAGATCCTCACGAAATTGTCTATAAAGCGACGGTCAAACCCCGTTATCCGACTTGGCTGGTTGGCTAAATCAAATGTGGGAGATAGCCAGTGTGCCTCTCATACGTCAGTGCATTTCTTTGCGAAGCCTTGTTCAGTCGTTGCAGAGGAGTTAGGCCTCTTCTTACCTGACCAGCCACCACCCCCATTATCACTACCGTGGAGGGTGAATGCGGGAAGGTAAGACATGCTCGATGTTGCACAAGCCTCCCAGAGCATTGCAGAGGGAAGTAGCTAGTGATAGTTCTCCTCTTTGACGAAAGAATTATCGAGTGCATCCCGAGTAGGAACAACCATGGTTGCTAATGACGCCCTGCCTATCCTCTTTGTGCTCCCTAGCGACTTATTACATGGTGCAGAGGCTCCAGTCTTGCGCTAGTGCAGTAACAGATGCGTTTTTTACTGAATCACTTTAAACTGACTGGAATTACTACTGAAATGACTACTCCAGTTGTGCTATGCAGCGGCAGGGTTGTCAGCTAGCGCCTCTGCTGTCATTATGGCTAATGATGCAACATGTGTATGCTGCTGTCTGCCGGTGGGCAGTTCGGGAATACTGCGTGATTATCCCGTTGAGGTTGGTGACTTTCGACCTAGATATTCAAGTCGACTTTTGGACTGAGGCTATAAAGCTTTAGTTCGAATAATTTCCTCCAAGGCAGTGCATTTGTCTGCAAGATTGAAATTTTAAAACTACAGTATCTACCAGAAAGCACATAGGGAGCGCCGGGAGGACCCCTCGTAGCTGTGTTATATTACAGACGGAATATCGACAAAACACGTGTCTCGGCGTTGAGTAAGTACCTGTTTTGTCAATATGGTGAATAACTTATCTGTCCCCTCATAGCCACTTTGCGTTTGTAACTTGCAAAAAAGGAAATTGAGTGCCCCTTTTGATCTTAAATCAGACAGATGTTTTAGCGACAAGGTTTGGGAACTTTGCGATTAATTTCATTCAGTCACTATTTACTCAATTTACTGAGAGTGCATTGATTAAAATGTCATGCTCAGACTGACTATTAAGTGGCGTGTGATTATTTCGGGCTAAAAGACGACTACAATTCCGAGCAGACAGTGGTTTCACTGCGTTCATTAAGCAGTGCCAACAAGCACGATTTGGACGCAACTAACTAAAAAGCATACAAAACATTGAAAGAATTCAGCAGCCTTTGTGATGAGGCAAGTTTTAAAAGGCAAAAAAAGCAGTGCTCCGAGAGCACGACAACTTCCTGTCGCCATGTATCGATTTCCCTGCCTACTAATTCAAAAAGGAAGAATGGTAATGCAAGGGGATGGGCGATGGAAACGACAGTTTTACGTTTCATTGAGCGAATCTGAGCTGCACAACAAAAAGTACATATCCGGATGGACTGTTTTTGACACTCGGAAAACTAATTGGATCATTAATGGCATGAGGACGCTTCAGGGTATTATAAGGAAGTTCCATTATGAGGGATACTGCCCGAGAAAAAGCGTGAACGGTCACGAAAATATTAGCTTTTAAAGTAGCTCGTCCGTGTTTTTAAGAGACGTTGTAGGATCCCTTGCGTTCAATCCTGATTAGTAATGTTGGTCAAGTTAAACATGCTGCTACTACTACTACTACTACTACTACTACTACCACCACCACCACCACTACTACTACTACTACTACTACTACTACTACAACTACTACTACTCTTTCTTACTCCTTGATAACCCGCGATTCATTTTTTCAGCAGTATCCTTCATGCCATTTTAGTTTTGGAGACCTCATCTTCAAAAGCTACCGCCGTAGGGGTCACCGATAAGCTGGCCGCGGTTGGAACTGGTCAGGGTGGCGTGGTCTGCATCTACGATCTGACTTCTGGCGATTCTAGAAAGGCTGGGCCGTCTCATCGGCTCGTCCTGCCGTCCGCCTCGGGTGCAGTGACCGCATGCTGTTTTTCACGTACCCCATCGGACGAGAACGTGGCAGTCAGTCAGTCAGTCGGTGCATCAGAATCGGAAGTGAGTGTCGATGCGGACGCCTTCTTCGAGGAGTACGGACTCCTGGCTGGTGGCGCGGATGGCCAGGTAGCCTGCTGGGATCTACGGCATCCGAGGTAGGACTTCATACCACTCCTCACCAGTAATGTAACATGGCAACCATCTGCGTACAGTGCATTACGCTAAGCTGATACGGAATTGCTCCCAGTCCACTAAAAACTCTTGCCATACAGATTCCAGCACCGAGTTACCGTTATGCTCATGATACCCTACTGCATTGGTGAAGACGGTAGACACCAGGTCTTTTTTACTTAATCACATTTATTCATCTCTCCCCAAGGTCAGGTTTGTTTTCTCCCCTACACACCGTCGCTCGAGTTCATTGGCACACACCTGCTAAGGCATGATCGCATCGTCCTTGAATAACCCACTGTTCTATTCGTGTGTATGCTGTACTGCCGTCTTCCTTTCGTCGAATGCATTGTACATGCGGCACTCAGTGATTGCTTATCAGAAATTGCTGTCCCAACTGAGTGTAATTCAACTCCTGTGGCTCTAACTTCAAGTCACTGACTGATTTAAGGACGGATAATGGCTCCCTTTGGGCTGTCTGCTCGTTTGTCCCTAACCATAACGTTTGATGCACTGAATACGAAGGTGACGGTTACGAGTGGCGTACCTCAGGGCTCCATTCTTGGTCCCATCCTCATCCTCATATGTATTGATGACTGCATCCATGGGGTGGACTGCGTTCGCTGACGACATGAAACTTTGGAACGTCATCCGCAACGAGGAGGATGAGGCAAATCTACAGGCAAACTTAAACCGTTTCGAGCAATGGTCAAGTCACTGTCTTCTCCCGTTCAATGTTGCCGAATGCAACATTCTGTGAATTGGCAAAACCAGCTCGGCGCATCGGAGGAAGTACCATCTAAACCACACACCGCTACCAGCGGTAGAGGTTCAGAAGGATCTAGGTGTGTGAATAACATCCTCACTGAAGTCATTATTCCACTGCCTGAAGGTAGCGAAATCCGCAGTGTCCAGCTTATATCTCTTCAAGCGGACATTTTCGAAGATCGACGAAAAGTGCTTTAGCGAGGTCTTCAGGTTATTCGTGCGACCACAGTTGGAATTTTCCATTCAGGCCCGATGACCCTGGTCTGTTAAAGACCGTGCCACCATCAAAAAGTCCAACGACGGGCAACCAAGCTTGTCAGAAGTCAAAAAACCTACCTTACGAAACTCGACTGTCCAATCTTGACCTCTTTCCCCTGGACTACAGACAGTTATGTTGCAACTTAATTCAAACGTTTCGCATGCTGCGGGGTCGGGGTTGTTGCCTTGCATCCAGCGACTTTTTTTTGACCGGCCACCACTGCTAGGTTGCGAGGACATCCCCTCAAACTACTTGTGACTGGGGCAAAAATGGACGCAAGGAAATTCTTAGTCAGCCGCAGGATGATTAAGGCATGAAATGTTCTGCCTGTGGACGTCGTCATGTCCTCATCCGTGGACACATCTAAGAGGAAGCATGACCGGCACAGGGATATGTACCACCACGTCATCAGAAACTGACAATTTTTCCCCTTGTACCACGCCGAGCGGGGGAGGAGGAGAGAGTGTAGGTAGATGCTACGCAAGTCTACTGGCACTATAAACCCCTGCGTAAGTCACCGTCCCTGCTCCCAACGCTGCTGCAGCTGTGGGGCACACGGTGGACATCGTCGAAATCGACGGTCGAACTGTCACCACCCCGAGCGTTACACGTTACAGGACATGCTACTCCCTATAGATAAGTAACATTATGCGATAACGTTTTCGTTAACTGCCTCAGTCGGACGCGCGAACCAAGAAATCCTAACTGAAGCGTAAGCGTTCGTTCCCATATTACGTGGACCACTTCAGTACCGCGTAATGATTATTTTGAAACTTTGACACAGTATGAATACACTAACACATTCATACAACTTCGTATAATTAATTTCCTACCCTTCTTTCGCACTCGCTTTGCGTGTTGTTTTTTGTTTGTGGCGTTATTGTAACCAGTAGGGAGTACAAAGGCGTTCGCCGACGTTTCCCTTAATAAACTGAACTGAACAAATGTAAACATGGCCAGTCCCCAGAGTGTTTTGCAAGTCAAGATTTAGGCATAACTTGTATGCTTTCCGTTCTAAGTTTAGCTCTGGCATTGAGCTTTACGACTAATTTCTGTAAGGCCACGCTAGTTAGCCGACAGAATGATTACGTCTGTACCAACTTTGAGATCTTAGAGGGCTGGCTGTTCCTTCTAGCTAGGTATCTCGTGTGCTTGATGCCTTGCAAGCAAGAAGGTCGCACTTTTGACTTTCAGAGTGATCCTCCTAGCTCGGGCACCCCTAAGGCAGGATGGTAAACATCAGGGGGCGCAGGTTTCAGTTGTCAGTTCCATCAGCAAACGCATTATCCTCCCTCCGAAGTACGTGAACCCTTGTCATTACCAATGTGGCGGTGGGGTAAGCTGACTGCTGTAAGTTTTACAGGACCGACCAGAGACCGCCAACCCGGAGGAGACGTCAGACCAGGCCGCCACTGCAAGGGCTCAAATGAACTCTGCCGAGGTGATGGCTGACAACACTGGCACTTTTTGGGACCTGCAATACAGTCACCAAAATGCTGAGACAGCAAATGAAGCAGAAAATCGGTCAACGATTAGCAAGGCATTTGACTCTCCGTTTGAATTTAGCGCGTTAAACGCCTCAACAGTGGTGAACCGACTAAGCTCTCCTAGGCCAAATTCGTCCCGTTGAAGCCTTTTCTATTCTCGAATCACCATCCTGAAGCCCTCAACATTACCAACTTGACACTGATGTCCTAGTTTTGACGCCCTATTCATCAGTTACGCAGACAGGTTACTTTTTGACGAGTTGGAACGCCTTTGCTGCCTCTTTTTTTAATCATGGCCAAATTTTGACAAATGGAAATGCGCTGCCTACTTGGTACGGCTGTGATCAGGCCGAATCTAGCCGCGGATTGTACCTTCCCATGCCTCTGGATCTGTGGCAGCGGATCTGGACAGTTCGACCCACTCTCATCTCCAACGATGGATACTGAATATCGCAGATCCAAGAGCCACTTCCATGCCTTGACGAACTGTGCCAAGCCAGGTTTTGAGTTGACCTCCGCTTCGAGGCCTCCAGGTTAACAACGGCGCCAGATCGAGGTCAGCGGCAGTGAGATTGTGAGCCGGACAACGGAGAACATGCCCAAACCGCCTCAGTCGTTTTTTAGATGACCTTGTATATCCTGGTGATGTCGCAACAAGTGTGAACTGTCTCTTTTGGGACGAATTCAGTCTGCCGAACTCGAAGAATAGTCTACTTACTTGAAATATCTGGTGCGGCTACGATCATGCCTGCTCTAGCCGACCTCGATGATGTCCCGAATAGTACCCCTCCACGCATGACGATCCGCAGCAGCAGATCTGGACAGTCCAACGCATTCTCTTCTCCAACGATGGATACGGAATGCCCAATGTTAAAGAACCACCCCCATGTCTTGACGAACTGTGTCGAGCCAGGTCTTGAGTTGCCTTCGACGGGTTAACGGTGCCGGACCGAGGGCAGTAACATTGAGCTCCTGAGGTGAGCGACGAAGAGCATGCCCAAACCACTTCAGTCATCTTTCTTGGATGGCCTGGGTTATCCGTGCTATGTTGTCACAGCGAGTGCGGACTGTCTCATTTGAGACGAAGTCCATGCACTTCACTCGAAGGACAGTCCTCAGAGAACAGTGCTTAAGTTCATCTAGTTTTTGCTCGTCCTCCAGATGCACAGTCCAACATTCACAACTATAGAAAAAGACTGACACGGTACACGCTAATCTTTGTGTCGATGAAAATGTCGCGCCGGGTCCATAGACACCTCTAAGACTTGAGAAAAGCGGGCAGACAGCATCAATCCTGGAGACAGAGTTATCCTCACTCTATTCATCCGGCAGCAGCCCCGCCCAGAGGTGTCTGAAAATGTCTTCTTCCTCATATTGACAACCATTAACCGCTAAAGGTACCGTCTGCAGTGATGGGTGTAGCCTGAAAACACTCTGTTATTACCAGCGTTTATGGATAAACTGACTGAACTCGCGACCACATTCACCCGTGACACCGGCAGTTCGACTGTCGTTGTCGACGATGTCCATCGTGTGTTCCACAGCAAGGTGTGAGCAGGGCAGGCGACTTGCGCAGCATCTACCGCACTCCCCTCCCCCGCCTAGGCCCGGTGTCATAACAGAGTCAAAAAGATCGGAGGCGGGAGAGGCCGAAGGCGGCTGACATGACGAATGAACCCGCACCTAGGCGTGCCACCACACGCCCCGGTCCACAACATACCCCGACCAGGATATGCGTGGCACCATTACCTGCAGACCACTAAGGCTTGCAATTAGCAAAACGACATGTCCAGCAACAAAAAATGCGCTGCATCACTTGTTCACTCCTGTCACCCCCTCGGAACTTTACTGGTTATTGTTGGTGGCTGGAGGGATTGTGGGATTTCCCCCTTGTTACGAGCCGCGCCCATCTGACTGAATAATCCTCATCAGAACCGTAAGGGCGTGAACGCTCGGCGTCAGGTGTGTTTGCCCGATCGCCGGTGCTTCCTGCTTCACCAATGACGGTGGATGATTCTGTGGAGAAACCATAATTCCTCTTGTTTCAGCTGCTAGGGGCAGCTGCGTATACACCGTGGTGTCCAGTGCTTGGTGTGAGGAGTTGGTCTCCCGTCCTTCTGAGCAGGATGCCTTCCTCCTACCCCATCAGCTCAGGTGGACCTACGGTGTACTAACTGAATAGACTTTTTCAGGCGCGTCTCGTTGGCCTTTTTATTCTTACCCACTCTTTATGTTGGAAAATTTCAGCAAGACGGTATTTGCTCAAACTTCGGGAAAGTCTGGCATAACGCACTTGAGGACTTATCGGTGGCCAGGGCGCAGCTTACATGACCTCGGCGACGAAGGAAAACCGGTGTCCCTTTCATCCTTCACTGGCCTGTTTGTAGCTCGACGTAAGTCTCCGTGGCGGTCGATTTTCATGAATCAAGCATCACACAACTGCTAATTATTACGGTTTGTTAACGTGGTGACTAATTTAGGGTGAATTTCCGTAATTAATTGATTGATGCACCTGAAATGTGAGGAAACATGTCTCTTCAATCGGTTTTACACACAAAACGCCGAGGCTTCTTTCTACGAGAACGTAGGGCGTTATCTTAAAAATGGCACGACCAGGCCTACCACGAGTGGATAACATGGTTCATTTAGTGAATACTCACCATAACACGCGCAAGACGCCAGATAACCTACCAAAGCAACTACTTGAAAACAAACTTGCGGATTTTATTGCGCGGTCTTCAGACAGCTTTGTCCTACGGCAACAGCAGACCCTTCTCAGGGTTTCGCACCTACCGTGGCCAAGATAGACCTTCCATTCGACGCGAAAAACGAACCGATATACATCAGGTAACTGCGACTGCGGGTCATCTCCCCACTCTCAACCTGCGGCCCCATAGCACTTCGCCTCTACCCTCTTCCTCCTACCACTCATTCCCGCAAAAAAACATTAATTATAATTCGGTCCGTCAGCCACTTATCACAGTGTTGCGATACTTTATGCAAGTGAAACCGACACTCGGGGATCGGGAGCAAATCTGCGCTACAGTAAGTCTGACGCATTCGAATCTATGACGGTGTGCTAACAAACGTAGCCATGACGACAGCCAACCGACGAGATAATTCCGTTTTCGTGGGAGTATTTTCGAGCGACTAGAGGGCTGCAACGGCTCCTTTCCAGTGTGACCTGCATGGCATTCTCACTCGTGCTAGATTCCAACCGTCCCTAAAGTAGCCTCGTACGCACCTTAGGGATCAGACCGTGTGCGGCACGCGTAGACGAACCGTTTGGTTTTGGTTACTGCGTCCGCGCCCACCTCCGATTGTCCCGACACTGCCTTGCCACCGGAGCAATGTGGGTGAGGAAAGGTGGAGTGAGGTGGGCGATGTTGGGTGCAAGCCTGCCGCCTCGGCGCCCACTTCATGGCTTGCAGCGGTCAAACGCCCATATTACCTTTTACTCCTTGATGTTCAGATTAGAAGTCGGCTGGATCGCAGTTGGTAGCCATGCCCCGTATTGCAGGTGGCTGGGGGGGGGGGTTGTTTACTGGGGCTATTTTGTGGAGTTCCATAATCACATCTGACCCATTTGGCTTCCGTTTTACGTTCGAGGTTAGGATTAGGGTACCGGTTAATGGTTTCCGATTTTCGGATTAGGGTTATGCCTTTAGGCTTAGGTTTTCGGGTTACGATTAGGGGTTGAGCGTACAATTAGGTTTCAGTATTACGGTTAGGTTTTTTCAGTTACGGCTATGCCTAGGGGCTACGGTTACGTTTACGATTTCGGATAGGATTGCCGTTAAGGTTAACGGTTAACGTTTAAGGTTGAGGTTAGGATTGGGGTTAAGGTTATGATTAGGGTTAAGGTCGCCGTCCGCTTTCCCATTCCTGGCTACCAACTGCGATCTAGCCTAGAAGTCTTTAAAAAAACGTGCGTTTGCCTGGACTGACTTACTGGACTAACCTTGTGTGTTCTCTTTCACAGGAGATGGCCGAGTCACCCTGCAGCCTCTGGCTGCCAGTGGATCACAGAGCACAGCTCACCATCTTCTGGAGCTGACTGGTCCGGATGTCGACTCAATTCGCGGGTTTTCGGTGCTGGCACCGGCTGCCACAGCTGGTGACGAGCCCTCTGTCAACGTCTGGTCTGCCACCAATAGCGGACACTTTTTCCTCTATCGAAGGCTTACTGTCGATTCTTTGGTTGCCTGATTTGCGTCTTTGTATGTGTGGCTTTTGTAAGATTTTTTTGCAAATATTTGTTCAATATGGATGTTCTACGTAAAGATGGGCTTGGAGGGATTATTTCGCACATCCCAATCGACGATGACCATAAGCGTCAGTTTGGTTGTCTCTTTTGCAGTGTGTCAACAAGAGTCAGCCTCTGGTTAGGCATGTAGGTGGACGGTGGTGGCAGACAGCAGAGTTGAGGATGCCGCTATTTTTTGGGAAAGTACTTTAAAGGGTGGTTGGGACGCAGCATTGTACGTGGTAGAAGTCAACACGCACCTATCCGGGTTCTGCGACGGACGCTCCGTCCACCGTTTACCAAATTAGCGCCGAAAACGCCGGTATGGTCTGCTCCTTGTGTAGAAGTTTGTGCGTTGAGGTCTCCTATTTTCTGGGGATGTTTTAACCAGTAGCGATCGAAGTGGACCGACAAATATTCGGTCTTGAGCATGGGTTCATGATGCAGACAACTTAACGAGGTTTTTTTTAAATTTGATAGCCTTCATCAGCATGAGACTGAAGATGATTATGTTAGGCTTTACCGGGGAAAACGTTGGAGAAATCAAAATGTGCATGCGGTGGCACCTTATGGAACAGGCCAGTGCTTGATACCGGATTATCATTAGCAGGTTCAGCCACAAGCATTTCATTCCTATGTAGATGCCGAATTTGTTCGTAAAAGTACCGTGTGACTCCGAAGTCTTTTTGACTCCGAAACGTCTCCTAGATACCGGCGAATCATTTGCGCTTTTTCGTGTTCTGCATCGACTGGCCAAAACGAAGGATTTCATAGTTCAAGGTACTTAACACTTTCCGAGTAACAGAGAACACGAGGACCCTTACCAGTTTAATGAGTTCGGGATGTCTTTGTATTTGCAGATGGCGTTTTGGGGCATGAGTCTCCTCTTTAAGTAAATTTTTCTAAAAAAACATAAATTTGTCAATTAATGAGAATCTGGTCAGATGAGGAACGTTTTTTCGTTAAAATAAGCCTTGCTACAGCATTTCGCCGATAACTGTCCACGTTCACCATTTTTTTTTAAATATCGAATTGTGTCCCTTACCCGCATGGTCTGTGGAGTTGAACCAATGATTATTTTGCGAGACTGGCAACTGGAGAATGATCTTTTCTGACCGAAGGCAAACATGAACCGACAGATTTCCGTTTTACCATAAATTTTGCATTTTTGAGCTGTTTTTTGCAATATCATGAAACTTTGTTCTGACGCTTACACGAAATGAAAATAACTGTGTCTTCATATGAACATGCAACATCGGGAAAAACAGCTTCAGAGCTAGTAAACAGCAGGTAGCCTGAAAACCTCAAAAGCAAACTCTTTTTTTCGGCATAGAAGTTGACACTTCAAAACAATGTTAACCTTTCCTTCGGAATATCAGACCTTAACAATTGGATGCAATCGCCCATAAAATAATAATAATTAGTTTTGTTCATGTTTTCTGCCAATTATGGTCGAATTTACGTTGGCATTTGGAATTCGCTGGAAGAATGCGGTTTGTTCAACATCTGCCTTTGACAGTGTACTTTGTGCAGATGACTGGGAGAGAGTTTACTCAAAGGGCGACATGACAGCGTGCAAGAAATTACCTGTGATTATTCTCCCCGTTTGCGAATACCACAGTGTCTCACACGTGAGTTTTCCCATTTAGAAGTCAGTCGAAACACATTGATAAATGCTTAACTGACATTTGGATCTTACGCTGTCTATTTGCATACGCTGTGAATGTATGGTAAACAGCTGAACGGGTGGGGCTCCTGAGCCCTGTCCCGCCTGGTCAACAAGCGATCACTTTCGTACTATTATTGATTTCAGTAGGTGGTAAAAACTTGCTAATTTCATACTGTTATTGATTTTGTCGGACGCTGTGCTACATGCGGATGCTTTCAGTCCGAGGTGCATCGCAGAATGCTGCGATTATGATTTAGAACTATATCGGACCTCGAGTTTTAGGGTTATGGGTATGGCAAGGGTTTATTTGCAGTGATACTGTTTAGAGTTAGGAAGTCACTCCGCCTCGCTTTCTACACTTTCCATCTACGGTTTGCGTCTGATTGGTCACATTCTTGGGCAGTTCGGCTTCGATGACTTTGGCGGGCCAATTACCCTCATTCTTTATGCAACTGGTTTTGCTGGTTGCCTGGAGCGGATTTTTGTACCGCGCACCGTTTACACTGAGAGTTTACTACCCGCTAAAACAAACTAGCATGTTTGTCCTTACTGCCTGCATTTTTCCCCTAGTTTTCCTGAAGACCCACCTGTTGGGCACTTTTTATCACGGTTTGGGTATTCGGCGCGCCTGGGTTTCCCCATTTCCTAGCAGGGCCGCGTTCCGGAGCCCTGTTGTTGAACGTTCTAGAATGTGATGTTTTTCCCCTAATAGCCATTCACCAGAAGCCTTAGATGATTTCGCAGAAAAATACTGCTGGGACACACTTCCTGTGTTTTATAATGCCTGAGACATCAAAAACCAAACAAAAACGTATTTCTGATTGGAAGGTTTTCCCACCACATCTGACACGACGGAGATAAGCATTTCCCGCTTATTTACGGTAATCTGCCTAAGTGTAATTGGGTTTCAGGAGGAACGCCCGAGACATGAGCCCAAGTCGCTTGCCCATCATACATTTTAGGTCTCCCATCTGAACCAGCGGTCAAATTCCTGCCAGCGGAGACCTAAAATACTTAAATTTACGGGAAAGTGCAATCGGGAGATTGAACATGCCAAAGAACTAGTGGTGCTCATATTGACATCACAGTCACGTCTCCCAGTTGCTGCAGGACTGTTATTCAAGTGCAACTATACGTATGTTCAAATTGTGTTTAGCAGAGAATGAATAATCGATTAATTCTTAAAGTTGTCATGTGCGACTGTGATAGCGCAGATTCTACTTCTAGTCCGTTCGCTTAAAAAATAAAATAAAAATATTCTAGCTATGGGATCCCATCCTAATTCTTTATGGATTAGCTTAGGGAATTGTGGTGTATTTTTGTAAATTACCGGTATTCGCGGGATTGTGGGTTTAAATTCGAATTCTGAATTGACAGTAAAGATACAATTTGCCCATTTCAAAAGTGATTTTTATGTGACTTTTTAAGGCTATAAACATGTGATTTCAGTACACTTTTCTAGTTAACATAGATACCGTAAAGTGCCGATTTCGATGAAACCATGGGGTTTTCGACCGGCCAATCAACTACTTTTTGTGGACAAGAGGCAAACAAAAAGTCAACTTACCGTTTTCTCTCAAAAATAACCATGGATGCCTGAAATGTTCACCGAACACCGCCCTGCGTTTTCAGGGATTGACTTACGTTGCTCAAGGCCGAGGGCAGCCATATTGCGTTTACGCCCTGAAGACCCTTGAGAGTAAAATATTTTCCTATTGACGAATCCTTTTGGCCATTTGCATCCAAACGTGTCTTTAGACCTAACTAAAATTTGGATTGCCTAAAACAAACGATTTACATCCTTTATATTTCAACGCATGGAGTAGTTAAAAACTAAGGCCTAGAAGGGTTTTCTCATATTAAAGACTTCGACATTAATGGCACTTATTTAGGTTGGTCCTTTTATTTAACTCAAGAAGTAAGGATTAGCAGTTTGAAAATTACTAAATGCAGCGCAGTGTTTTTCTACCGACAGCAGACGTTTAGCGGACTGCGCAGTTTGTTTTGACCGATAGTTGAGCACCGAACAACATCCAGGTGCGTACTAATGTTCATCGGTAGGTCATTCTGTGTGCGTACTCGGTCGTCCCGTGAACATCACGTCTCACCTCATCCCCCACGCAGAGATTTGATTGGAAGATGTGCGTATAAACGAACGCGATCAAGTGCAGAGGACCGACCTGTCATCTGGGCGGGTGTCGTGGGGGGCAATTTTAAGTCTGTCGCGGTACTTTTGATGTGATTTAGTTGGAATTCTAAGTGCTCTGTTTACACTAAGGCATCATTGCTAAAAAGCCATAATGACTCGTGTCTGCGTCAACTAGCACGCATAGGCACATGCAAGTCTTGTTTACGAAAACAAATTTATTACTGCCTTCCACGCCCTAATTCCTCTCTGCGGAGGCTTTCCCACATAAAATATGCGGTACTGAACCCCTCATCATTTTGCCAATTTTACTGGCTTAAGCACTTAAATGTTAAGTGAAGTAAACATACTTTTGGATCTACAACTAATCGTACGATTTGAAACCTCAGTGACTGGTGAGGGAAAACAGAACTTCAGGCCGACGCAGAGAAAATCGGACAAGCCGTAGATCCAACATTACGCCATGTGTATACCTGTGAGATCGCATTGCCGTGACAAATACGACGACACTCCAAAATCCAGTCTGTTCACTCTGTACACTTATAGAACGCATAGGTCATAACTGTGACATATTAACTTGTGTGTTTTACCCGTTCTGGGGTTTCAAGACTCTGAACACCAAACGAATTCTCGAATAGGTTTTTTACAAAATAGTAATTTAAAAGCGTTTTATTGGGTTGCCTTAGTCTTCTGGTTTTGCGATTGATCTGAGGAACAATTCTCTTATAGGTTGGACTGGGTAATATACTCATGCGGACCGCCTGTAACTTCGGATAGATTAAACGACGGTGAGCAGAAGTGGGTAACTGCAGTGTTAAAACAAGAAAATCGATTTATTGTCCTTTCTCCGTCTAAACTTATTCGTATTCGAACCAGTAGTTTTGCAGTACGTTAGTTTATTCAGTGTAGTGCATCCCCGCACATTCCTTCTTATGCAGACATCATTTGAATACAAATTTGGAGCATGATTCTGTCCCAGCCTCCTATGCTATTCTTATGAATTCTCTAAACAGTCCGGGACCTCTGCATTCCACAGGCATTCACGTAAACGTTAAGACACTATAGATGGTCAGGAGGACTGTTTCGGGAGGTATGGTGACAGTATTTATAGGCCAGTCCAACTGATTTATATTTTTAGGGTGTTGCTTGTTTAACAGTTTTCAATTAGACGCGGGAACATGAACTCCTCCGTCTTACAGATGGCCTAGCCTAAAAATTCCAGATGACTATGATCAAATTTATGAGGGTTAGTGCCAGGGTTAGACATGGGGACGTTTAGGGTTAGAAATAGTGCTACGGTCTTAATGTTATATCACGGGGCAGCCACGACGTGGAATTTGGCTCGAGGTCACTTGCAGTACTGGGATTTATATTCCCGGTTCCCTACTCAAGTTTCCTTATTATGTGTTAACTATGATTCAAACAGCGGTTTGTTTTAGATTAGCGGGCTCTTCAGCCCTTGTCCATAATGTGCTGCAAATCCTTTATATTTTTTATTTATTTTTGTCTCCTTAAGTACATATTTTAATGTTTATTCTCGAAAAAATTCGGATCTTTGTTTGTTGTTTTAAAAGAACACCTTATTTCCTCTTTCTTTATGGCCTTCTTGGTCTCAAGACCGATGGTGGCTGCATTTTTTGCCAGATATATAGGCGATTGTGGATAATCACGTGATTTCCTGCGAATCACTCATTTTCTCGCGGGTCATCTGATGTCCTGAATAGTACTCAGTTTACAGTCATTCGAAGTAATTGGAGAGTTGCAGTTTCTCACAATGTTGGCCTAATTTTTTTCTCGGATCTTATTTCGTATCTGTGCCCACAGTAGACAAGCATCAGCCTAATCCCCAACCCCTACTCGTAAACCCTACCCCAAAACCCCTAAGCCCAGCCCCTGACTCTGACCCCTAACATGTACGGCTACGAAATAAGATCGTGCCAATTTTTCTCGACCTGACCAGTATTAAAAGTTGCACAAGTCTTGAAGCGTCAGAAAATTTTACTGAATAAACTGCCAGTGGATTTATTCATCATAAGAAGATAGGGTGTTTACAGGGATAGATATAGGACTTTGCAGGCAACGAATACTGCAACCTTACCGAAAAGTCTGGCGAGCAGTATACTGCTGCATGGGTCGCCACCTACAGCCTCCGAACTAACCTACGAACAGCTTATTGTCGATGTTGCAGTCACTCTCGCTGGTGTTTGTCAGTTTTCTTAGTCGGTTTAAAATGGCTGGTCTCTAGTTGGCGCTGGCGTCTTGTGATTGCATAACTTGCCGGCGACGTCCAGTCAAGCCTGCAAGTGACTCTTAGCTTCTGTGATGCAAGGGTTCCAACTGCGGCTTTGAAGGCACCTCCCTCGCATAGAATACTTCGCTATACTCTGGACCAGTTTAGCCCATCAGCTCGTTCCCTTCAAATCCTGCAACCCCCTTCAAAGAATGCTGATTGTCACCAATTTGCGCGGAAGAGCTCCTTGAAGACTTCTGACTCATCCGCCTTGGTGGCGGGCTTACTAGAGGGGGTTTTGATTCATCAGAGGGCTTATATATCGGTTCTTGGCGTTGTGATCGCATTTATGTCCCGACCACTATGGCGGAATATGTGGAAGAATAAATTTTGGACGTGTTCTCAAATGTGCAAAAACAGCGTCTCAACATAGTACCCTCATGTGGACCAAGGACAAAACAAATATGGAGATTCCCGTGTACCCCGGCGCCTCCAGACACGAAAGCAGATTTGGAGCAGAAGCCTGGGAAGTAGAAAGTAAGGTGGCAAATTGCCAGACGAAACCATACAAACTATTTAGATGTTCGGCAAACTGAGTTTTTACAGCTAAGAGCGAGAGAGCCCCAAGACTGTGACAGAGTGTTGAATTGGAGGAGGTTGGCGTTGCAAATGGTCGCAACCTTGTTGCTTGTAATTGGATAACAGTAGAGAGTTTCCCACTCACGAGTCAGACGTCGAGGCAAAAAGATAGATGAATGACTGTGAACGAGTGTCTGCGTTACCATCTAATCAGCGAACTGTTGATCACACTGAAACATGTTCTCACGCCTGCGTCAGACGCACCATAAAGGGCAGCTAGCGTTTGCGCAAGGCGGGCTTGATTTGTGAACACAGAGACATACTGTGAGAGCACCAGCGCAGTTCTCTGTTCAGAATTTGTATAACGCAAACTAGAAAAACAGATGGAAACACATTTCTTAAACTGTAAAGAGAAAACCGATGTCTTTGCGACGCAAGCGAAAGAAGCGAGACAATTCGCTTTACTTTCGATGCTTCTGTCGTCCTCGCTAGTGTCCACTTTAAACAAATTGATTATCTGGAAAGTTGCATGAAAGAAACACTGCCACACCCAATAGTGCTACCAGAAATGTTAATCGTTTGTGATGTAGATATACGGTGGCTAGTCTGAAGAGGTTGATGGACATGAAGTTAGATGCAATATCATAGCGAAATACCTAGGATAGTTATCGGTGAGTTCTGTCCACCGGGCAATGTCTCGATACTGATCTTTTTTTCACGAAATCCTGCACAGTCTGAATAGCACAAAGTTCAACAAAGCAAATATCTATGTGTATATTTTTCAACAGTTTACTTACGTGGCAGCACCTATGAAAATAATATTGTCAGTATTATGTCGTATGACCCAAACATTGCGAAAGTTTACCGAAAACCATCAAGTTTTTTTCAGTCACAAAGGCGGCCGTTGTTTGCGGAAGTCGGCCTGATCAGACATACTCTGCGCGAACCACCGCAGTTCTCTGTTCAGAATTTGGATAACGCAAACTACTAAAACAGATAGAATCACATTTCATTAACTGTAAAGAAAAAGCCGATCTCTTTGCGACACATTTTAAATGATCAGCGAAAGCAGCGAGGCATCTCGCTTGACTTTCGATGCTTCTGTCGTCCTCGCTAGTGTCCACCTTAAACAAATTGATTATCGGGAAAGTGGCGTGATAGAATCACTGCCACACCCAATAGTACTACCAGTAATGTTACTCGTCTGTGATGTAGATATGAGGTGGCTAATACGAAGAATTTGATTGACATGAAGTTAGATGCGATATCTCAGCGAAATACCTAGAATATTTATCGGTGGAATAATCCATCAGTGGGAAGTATGCAGTAACCACCTAGGAATGTCCCGATGCTCATCTTTTTTTTCACGAAATCCTGAATAGTCTGAATAGCGCAAAGTTCTACAAACCAAACATTTATGCGTATATTTTTGAACAGCATACTTATGTTGCAGCGTCTATAAAAATGATAATGTCAGTTCTATGCATCGTATGGTCTAAAAATTACGAAAGTCTACTGAAATCCATTAGGTTTTTTCGACCATAAAAATGTATATGAGCCTGTATTTCCATCGCAAAAATCCTGAAGGAAATCGGTTAACGCAAGACTGTTTTTCAACTAATTTAGATAACTCAAGAGTTTAATTTGAGCAACATTGGCTTCAGAAGAACACAACAAGCTAACCCCTGAAAAGCTCTCAAAGCACTGTTTTACACAGATTATCATCTCGCCATCTCTCCCGAACAAGTAACAGTAGAAGGTCCCAGACCCGCGTTTTATCTACCTGCTGCTGCATGCCACAACCTCGAGGATAAACGGGCTCCCTCCATTTTCTTTCTGCTAGTAGCTTCGTTGTTGATATACGCTTTATTATTCCCTTTGATTGGTTGTCGGGAACAGATTTATCGGGTTCTCACCACGCCTTCGAAGACGAAATCATCGAAGCACCTACCCCGAGTTTAGCCGGCAGTTATGTTGGGAACACAAACAGAGAGAGAGAGAGCACTCTGATTACGTTCACAGTGCTATCAAGTATGCGGCCTACTACTCCCTCTGCAACCTGATAGCTCTACTTTTAATGTCTTTTTCTGAAATTTAGTGCTATTTCGCGGCTCTTTACCGTACTCCGATTGGTTAAACATTTTAATATCCTGAATTTGCACTTTAAATTATTCCCCAGGGTATGGGTTAAGGGCCCGCTAGAGAAAAGTTCTAAATGAACTTCCTGACGCAAAGATTTTGAAAGTGTGTTATGGTTCGAGCATTTTCCAAAGTAGGGATGCCCTCAGTACTTGGGAACACAGTCATTGGTGATGAGAGAACGCAAATGACAGATTGTTTACCTTTCTAAAAATTATTCCATGCACCCCGGAAACAAATGAATAAAAAGATGGTTTAAGCCGGCCGTTCTGTATACATAAGGTCAGCTGGAAAGTGTCCAGATCGAACACGATCCCTGCTGAGATGTACAAGCATGGTAGCTCCCAACTCAAGGATCATCTGACGGCACTCTTCCAGGAGATGTGGTATCAAGGAGGAGTCTCCCAGGACTTCAGGGACGCTACAAACGTCCATCTCTATAAGCGGAAAGGTAATCGCTAGCTTTTCGACAACCACCGAGACATCTCTTTGGTAAAAATCACCGGGAAGATCTTCACTCGCATTAATCTCAACCGCCCGAACAACCATCAAGAACCCATTCTCCTTCCGGAAAGCCAGTGCGGCTTCCGTTGTCATCATGGAATCACTGATATGGTATTCACCGTCCGCCAACTGCACGAGAAATTTAAGGAAATGGATCCATCTCTACTCTACCTTTGTGAATGTGACGATACGGTGAATCGTGAAGGACTGGGAAAGATCATGCAGAAATTTGGCTGTCCCGAAGGATTTACTACTCAAAAGCTGCGTCAACTCCACGATGGCATCATGACGCGAGTCACGGACAATGGAGCCGTTTCAGAGGTACTTGCTTTTACCAATGGAGTGAAGCAGAGCTGCGTCCTCGCGCCTACCCTCTTCAGTCTCGTGTTCTCTTCCAGGCTAAAGGAAGTCTACCGTGAAGACTGTTTCTGGATTCGCGCCGCCTACTGGACGGACGTCCACCTCCTCAATCGGCGGCGGTAGTGTGGACCAGGGAAAACTTGTGACAGTTTCTTAAGAAAACTTACGTCCCAACTAGAATGGAGTACGTTGCAAGATGTTAAAAGAAAACAATTGCAGGGGCAAGTTGGGCGGTGACTTCCAATATATTTAAAATAGTATTGTTTGCACGAATTTTTCTCTCATTATTACGTTGGCATGCGGATAAAAGATGAACTTAACTGCCCAGCGAGTGCATTTCAGAGCTGCCTGACTCTCCCACTGATACTATGGTCGATTATCCACTATACCAACGAAGTATAAGACATGTGCCAACATTTCTTCTTGCCTCGGTTAGAAGTGTGACACGATATTGAGGTTACATTTTGCTCCGTTTAAAGTGCCTGTCAACATCGGTCATCCGAATGACGACATACCCTGGTCGACTTGTTCCCAATGTCGACAAGCTACGGTCATTTCTCGTCCGTTACAAATGCCGGAGGGTGCCGCGAGGGAAGAAGGTTAAGGCTAGGCTAAATTCCAGTCACGAATGCAGTGTGTCTTAACTACAAAGAGGCCGGCCGATCCCTAAAGTAATTGGAATCTATTGCAGGTCTCAACAAAGAAGGACAAGGAGATATGCATATAAATCGAAAGTGACAGTTGTATGCAAGAAGCGGTAGTCTGCAGAGTATAAAACGGACTTTGGCGCTGAAGTTTTAAAACCTTTGCAATTCGCCGAACCATAAAAGATACGCCGATATTCACCTTTCAGCAACTTCGAAGCATACCTAAGTTGATAAGGTGTCCCAAATGACAACGAATACAATTGGTTGAGGAGCACGTCACCTAGAGGGATTAGTTGCACAAAGCAAAAACGAAATTTAATCTGGATGACCCTTGTCATTTGAATTATAAGTGGCGCAGATTAAATAAGGAGCCAGACATCCACGGTGTATGAGCGCGGGGAGATGGTACGGGAAATCGTAGTGTCGCGAAAAAAACTTAAAATTGGTGGTTTTAAAAGGGGGTTGGAATCCTTACTCACACATTCAGACATTTTCTGCTTAATTCCTCTCCTCAGTGAGGGAACAGCTGTGGCAGACTTTCGGCAGATAGCATCAAAGCAAATAGCTGCGAAGAAAGCAAACTGGCAAAACGATTCAAACACCCATGATCCCCAACTTAGCCCAGGCAAGAATCCGTAGAAACTGCCATTTAAACGCGTGTATTGCGGTAGTCGAAATTAGAAGTTAAACGGCCAAGAACTGAAAATTGCCCAGCGAACGTAGAAGGCGCCGAATGAGTCAGAGCCTGAAAGTATGACTAATGACCTGACTGATTACTGGGCTGGAATTATGTAGTTAAATTAAAGTCACATGTCCTTTTACATTAAAGCACACTAGCGGCATTGTATTTCTGCGGCAGCTATTTTCTGACCATATCCACTACTGCATATTACATAATGATACTTTTTCCTGAAATATCTTAGCATTAAAACTGCCAAAATCACCGATAAAAACGACTGTTTCATAACTGTGGGACAGATGGTACTTGTAACTCTGAAGTTAAATAAGGTACGGGTACTTGCAAGAAATGCAAGCAACCTAGTCGATTTAAACCAGCCCTCCTGTGAGCTTCCCTGCCTTGTTCCGCTAAGGCTTCGTATAATGGATTCAGTGGAAAATGTAAAGCCTGTGGCGGAAGTGAATCATTTTCCAACACTGCAACCATTTTTAAGAACATGGCTCCGTAGGCAATGCTCGTGACACCATCTTTATTCACGAGTTTCATTCGAGGCTGTTGGGGATTTAATATAATATCATTCGATTTCACCCACTCGACCCTGAGTCAAATCCTACTTGACTTGCGCCAGTAAATGACGGGCTCGTGGCCCAGTGGTTAGAGGCGTGGAATTCTAACTAACAGGTCGCGTTTTCGAGCCTCGGATGTTCCACACTTCGGGGTTGGGTATGGCTGGCTGACGACGGCTAATAAGCCAGAAATGGCCATTCCAGTCTCCTTTGTTTTTGTCAGTAATACCATTCTGGGATACGTCTTTCACGTGTAGTATAATTTCGCTTAATCGTTCCATTATGCAAATTTCCTCTTTTCGAAGATGTCGCGCAGACGTTTGTTGAAAACCTTCTTTCCGAACTCGAATTACTAAGCCTCACATGCACACACACTTGTCTGCCCAAATACTAGCAACTATCTTTCCAACAATAAATTAGTCAACTTGTTTCTTCCTTATCGACCTTGCCATGTTGACTTATTATCCTAGCCCGACGTTTAAATCAAGTGTTTCTTGCCGTTTTTTGTTTACCTTCTAGTTTTTCTCCCAAATGCTAGAACGCTTATCATCAAGGGCCGAAACTTTCTAATCCATTTGTTTACACTTACTGCTCCGGCTTTGGCTGCTTATCGTAATTAGATCACAGTGACTGCAGGGGTGTATTTTATCAAATAAATAATTTTATCGAAAAGAATGTAGTACACTCGCATTCTTGTGCCGAATTCGCAAGTCTGCTATCCAGAATTCGGCGCCACTGGAGATATTATCCCTTAGCTTTCCAAGCAAATGCAGTTAATAAAGGTTTTTCTAACAAATTTTCTTTTTAACTTGTCTGCTCTCACCGTCATTGGGAGCGAGTTATATTTAACAAAAACTGACTTTTTTAACTTAGGTTAAAGGATCTATTTAAACTATCATCAAATACGTAGTTGACTATAAGAATTGCAGCTGACTTACCGGTCCCAGTCCCATGTTTTTAACCGAATTGAAATAAAGCGTGTGTGTACTCGTCAGTGTTTATTTGCGAGCACCGTGGTTCTTCCGCGTTCTGCGACTCCCCAATTCAAGGTCAGTGAGACACTGGACAGAAATTGCAATGCAATCTTACGCATTGAGTCATTGTATTGAGCGGGTAAGTTGAACTTGGGGATTCCCTTACTACAGTAAAACAATTCAGTTTGCAGTGGACATTTAACAATCATTTTATGTAGGTAGCCAAAACACCGGCAACTTATTTATTAGTAAAATAGGCAGCCCAGTATCAGAGACGATATGCTTATATGCTGTAATTAAGACTTAACAAATTTTTTATATACGTCTTGTTTGCATTTGGTCTGGAATGTCGACACCTGGAAGGTGTCAGGTTAAGCAAGACGTGGCAGTCACTGAGAGATATTCTGCTTCCACATCACGTTTTTTTCATGTAATCTCCTCATATCCATCCTACCTAATGATGCGAACGCTGTCACAGTTTTGGAAAAAGTGGAAATATGCAGATTAAGTGCTGAACCGCGGATGCTGGTAATACTTTGTTTTCTGTTGTACGCTCTTTGGGAAAAGGGAGAAAGACACTGCATTAGACTAATTTAAGGTCAAATATTTTGCTGCAAAGCCTTCGGGCCGTAATCCAGCGCCTTCAGATGTGCGTAGTTATGTTCGTAAGAAGTTGACATATGGTGAAAGGACAATTTGGTGAACATCATGGGTTTGTTTATAGGTTTTTTGGATGTAAGAACTAGCCTTCAGCTTAAAAAAGAGAAATGGTAAGTCACAAGTTACTATCAACGGAATGCAAGAACTAATATCTCGCGCATGTTTTTTGCAAATTATATTTGAATTTATATGGACGTAAAACGACGCTAAACTCCATACCATTCTAGTAGTCAGTATCACCGATGGTGGTTGTTGCAGGCGTACAGATAGAGGCTCATTCGACAGCCGTTATTCTGGAGTAGCTAAAATGTTTCGGGATTATGCCACACACAAATCACTATTAAATAATTCACCAAAGTAACCCTTAATAATCGAAAACACATTTCATAATTCCGTTAAGTATTTCATGAGATTAGCCAACGGCCAAATATATACTTCATTTTTCTTCACGACCGATAAACAGGTAGACGATGTGAAACCCCAGGAAAGGTATTTACAAACTACTCATTTGCCTTTTCCAAATAATAAATCGTAGACTAAAGTTTAAACAGCGAATTTCAATTATCCTTTGTCATTAATTTATGCAATCTTCAAAAATCTAAACGAATCGTCAAAATTGCGGAGGGAATTGATTAGGCGGAAAGTTGAAAAACCGTTTTGAGCCTTTTCAGCTGAATAAAACCTGATTCGCGTTAAGATTGTCTGCATGAAAATTAGAGCGATTTTTTGCCTGTGTACAATAATATTTCACGCTGATCCGACACGCATTACCCATTAGGGCTTTATAGTCCTAGTCCAAAAAGCCTGACTACGGTGGTAAGTGTGCATAGCATTCCCTTCAGGGATGGCTCTAGCTTCTCTGCTCGACAGATAAGAGGCGTTTGGCGAAGAGTAGTTCTCTCTACTGTGCCATTAATGCAGAGCAAACTGATTCATCCAAAGTCGGCATAGCAACCGGGTTATAACATTGGACAATAAACATAGCGAACCAGTGTCCCTTGTCTTTTGCACTCGGAAGTTCTCTCAGTCACGGGGGGGAAATATGGAACAGTCAGGTTAAGAGAATAACACCGCATCCAGTCGGCTATTCTTGAGCCATTTAATGCTAACCTACCACTGAGTTTGACCGATATAACAAGACATCTTAGACAGCCCAACGTGTCCGTTCGAGAAAGGTGGTGACGACAGTAAATATTCAAGCTGAAATGCGGCGAAAACTCATATTTTAGAGATCGACAATAGATAAGCGCTGTTTCCGTTTACAGAGATACTCGACCATTTCCTTCAGGAAAAAATGACAAAGAAACGGACGTTTTTGACTCCATTTGGCTACATTTTATCGCCAATTAATAAAAATACTGGGTATTTTTAGTAAATAAATGATAAAGAGATTAAGACTTCAGTGAATTGATATCTGGAGAAGACCTGGATGAGAGAACTGTCTGTAATGTACAAAGTTTAATTACTGTTACATGTCTTTGCTTTTAGATAGGGTACTTGGTTGACTAGGCATATCCAGGCCCTTAAAACGATTATCCGAGCGAAAGTGGGCGGAAAAATATCCCGCATACTCCGTAGCATTCGCATCCATCAGGTATGGTCTTTTTGTGTTATAAAACGCGTACATGTGGGGATTTTTGTGCCTCAGCTTTGCGTACCCATTCGTCCGCAGTACTTTTAAAATGTCCGAAATATCCGCATTCCAAAGGCGTTTGTCCTCAAAGCTTACTGCATTAAATAATAGGAGATTGTCTGTCTTTGTCCGTAATAACATTTTGTCCATAGCATGCGCCGCTGTGTGGCTGCTGATTGGGCTCGAGATAGAGCCCGTAGGACACAACGGTACGAGTGATTTCCGTAAGAACGATCGGCGAATGTCCCTCTACCATAAAAGATTGTACATACCTTTTATACATCGTACCAAATAGGTCTAGCATTTGCTTTGGACCCAACCTCTGATAACATCATAGGTTTGTAACCGAGTTGACTGGAGTTATTTGAATTTGATGTCAAGTGAAAAAAGTCTTCGCCATAAAGCGTCGGTTTTCGTTCAATCAACTGCAACTGCTGAATGACAGTTTGACCTTGGTTGTCGACGGTGGCCACAGTGCGCCCCACGGCAGGGTGAGAGCAAAGACGATGACGTGTGCGTGAATTAGACTTTCGCAACAGCTACCGCATGCGCTCCTCCTGTCTCGCCTAGTTTCGACGACTGAATGCCAGTCTCAACAGTACGGGTAATGAAGCAGCCTACAATGTGTGACGAACTTGAGCTCACTTTCAGCACTATTCAAAGCAAAACACGAAAGGTCGTCTACACACCAAGCCTAATCGCTTACTCCCCCTCCACCCCCCCCCCTTCCCAGTCTGCGGCATTTGCGAAGTATTCTGGCGTCTGCAGGAGTCAATGTAAGCAAAAATGTAGCTAAACGAGAAACTTTGCGCATGACCTCCAAATCGTGGTTGTATGCTTACCGATTCTTCTGAGGTCTGTGCGTCGATGACGTACAAGTCACATACCCTGCACGCAGAGCAAAATGGATGTCTTGCTTTCCATTCGCGTCCCCGTTTTACGCTAACGTTTACTCGTTGAAGTGAACGCACAAAGAATATGAAGCATGACTGTCAATCGCAATGAGAGAGAATGGCCACTTTTGGTTGGTTTGTTCACAGCGGTGTCGTCCCTATTATGATGCATCTATGTATGGTCTACGCCAGTCTAATTTGATCGAAAAACAGATCATAGGCTTAGCAAGATGGTTGATGAAAAATCGGCAGCCTGGAAGGTCATGTGAAGGTCTTTCCTTCCAAGTGCTTCTCCTTGGAGAGCAGGTTGCTTTTTCTACTGGCAGTTCATAGTGCACTTAACACTTTCCGTCAGGGAAATAGGTTCTTGGTTGCGCTGTCTCTGAGGTCAATAGCTGTTTCTGCTACATGATCAAAATATAAAGATTCTTCATAAATTCATATAGTCTGCATCAAAACCAAGGATTTACCGCTCCGAAGTAGATTCTCCAACGCAGAACGCTATCCAGGCTTGTTCCGTAGTTCCAGCTAGACTTTAATTTAGCGTTTACATACCATTCACGCGCGAAAAAAACAATGTGGACACCATTCAGCTAGACTGACCTCCGCTTTCTCCGCATAATTTCATGTTCTCGAAATGTAAACATGAACTCTCTGAACTGTGTCGAAACTCTTCCCTCATTCAATCAAAACACTCTTTTGCCTTTTGTATACAGTGAGTAACCCATCCTATGGACAGGCATCCGAAATTACGAAATGGGTCTTTGATTAGCAAAGATTACTTAGGTGTGGCTGTTATACTAATTATCATGCTGTACGAGCCCAAGATGTTTCGCTATCGCCAGAATGTGCGCTTTTAATGCACCTCATTTTACCCTGCTGTCAAAACCACAGTGGGCATAAATGTCCACAAAATAGTATGCATTTTTCAAACTAATTCTCGATGGCCTTATAAATCAAATATAAATAAAGAGAAGCATATACAACATATGCCTTAGCTTATTCATTTGAAAGCACATCCTGTAATCTTTGCAATGCATGCTCGAAGGAAGGGCATTTTGGTTTAGAAAATGTTTTTCAATTCCCAGATACTTCTGAGGCAGGCCAGCCGATGCATAAGCGTTTCGCGATTTTACCCTGGAGGCTTTATATTTACTGCGTAAGGGGAATCATATATTCCTACTGCATTTAAAAGGATACTATGTAGAGTTCCTAAAATCTTTCAATGGATGCGAACTATGTTGTATGCTTCAGGAGGAGCGTTCTTAAAAGTACATGTGCAATACCGTATGGATAAACATTGCGCGGTCTTAAAAAATTGGTAAGATGGGGTTTGTTAGCCCCACCTGATGGACACAATACTGTTGGGGCTGGGGGTAAAGGTTAATGTCAGGGATTATGGTTAGGGGTTATGGTAAGAGGTTCGGGTTAGGGGTTAGCGCAACTATTTCTCAAACAGGGAACGTACAACCACGCGCTCCCAGTTGTTTTTATTTTGCATACAAATACTTGACTTCGTCGTCTGTGCGTTCCTCGGATCCACTGTAAAATCCCCTATCACCACCGATCCGTATTACAGGTGACCGGGGTTTGTTTACTTCATATGGAACTAATACACCACATTCGACCAAAAACCTCATAACTAAAAACCTTTTCAAAATTAAATACACTGTTTCTTCGAGGTTCAGATATGAAGAATACATTTTGTGCTATCAAATGCATGAAAACCTTATTTTCGTGTATATGATTTCTATAAAGTATATTTGATTTTATTAGGCCATCGAAAATCAATGCGAAAAGTGCATGCTACATAAGCAGTCACTATGTTCCGACTGTGGTTTTTACAGGGGGCCGAAAAAAGGTGCATTCGTAGGCCAATATCCTGACGAGTCCGAAATATCCCAGGATTTCTTGCGTTATGGCTAATATTACGTAATCCTTCCTAATCGAAAACGCATTTCAGAATTTCGGCCAATATTTAAAGAGGGATTGGTCACTCGCTGTAAAGCTGACCTTTATTCTTCGCTTATTAATGACATTCAATTGGCATCTCGACCGAATATGCCCCATGTTCTTCATGGAAACAGAAGCTCGGGTCAACTGTTTACTTTTACGGGGTAATAGTAGGCATTTTTAACTAGTCTTGGCCCGTGTTATTTTGACCCCTTTTGACAAGCAGATATGCTTTTCGCGCAGTGAAAGTATGCCCCCTTTTCATGTTTAACTGAGAGTTACTGGGTGAGGCACCAGCCTCTCACATACACCCCCGCGCGGGACTTCCGGAAGTAGCTTACTTCGAAAGCAACTTCTGTCTATTTTTGTGATTAGTGGAAACACCTCTCGCATTACCAGTAATTAAGGCAAATTAAATAAAGGGTTGTATTTTAAAGCCAACAAAGTAGTTAGAAAGCAAAAACAGTAAAGAAACCAATCAACAACCAAAATTACGCACAAGAACAGACAAACAGCAGTTTGGCAGACGACGAAACCTCTCATCCTTTTGCTCTCTCGAGCGCTCTCCTGAGGTAAGCAAGGAAGTAAAGTGTGTCTGCATTTTTGTGAACGGGGCAGTTTACTGTGGCGGGGGTGTGTATGTGTTTGTGTGGTGGAGGTGTGCGGGGGTAATTTGTCTTAGAGAATCTGCCGGACGTAGACGAAAGACGGGACGCAATTCTTCGGGAATTAAAAAAAGGCCGGTAAAACAGACAGGGGGACGAAGTCGTCCACAATGCAGAAGCGAGATAAACGACGAGAACTCTTGTTAAACACATCATAGTATGGGAGCGGAAGCAGACAGACTGAAGCCTTTACTTGGGTGTTGGCGGCGGCGGCGGCGGCGGCGGCGGTGAGTGGGAAGAAAGCCGCAAAATCAAAACGCAAACGGTGGGTGAGCTGGCGGACTCTAATTCGCAGTCTCCTTGTCCTCCACCTTTGCCTCGCCTTCGTTTTCGGTAGCCTTAACCTCCGGTTCAGGCTGGCAAGGGAGTTAAAAGAACAGGAGGAAAGACAGTGATTTACTGTACCAATCCGAAAAACATCCGTGTGGAAGACCAGAGGACCAAGTATGGAAAAGAAACGGGCATTCACCTCGTCAACTTATCAGCCTCTAAATGATTTTCGATGCACAACGACGCTAATACGTGGAAAATCTGAAGCAAGTAATTACTTGATTTTCAAGTCACAAGTCCGGAATTTCGTTAATAAGGAGGGATGCTAACCAGTCCATCTTTATTTTGGGACAGAGCATGTGACTTTCATCTCCACTGGCTCGAATGAAATCTCCGGTTCCTTTCGGTAAGTGAGCTATCGCTGATCGTCGTGGTCTCCTCTTTTCTGTTTGCTGCTACCGTATGGGCACTAACTGCTCGTTGACACGGCGCCTACATTGAAGTCCCTGAATCGAGGTTATAATGCAAAATAAAAATCTTGCATTAGGCCTTACAATGAATGCAACTCGGTTATTGCCATACCAAGTCCCTCTGGCTTCAGATTGTGGCTTTCTTAACTGAAGACCAAGAATGAACCAGATGTAAACATTTCAGTTTCTTTTCTCTGTCGATGAAGTATCACTTTTATTTTTTTAATATTTGCAAAACTCCTACTGATGAGCCATTTAACTGTACAACAGCTTTCTGCTGCCTTGATGCAAAGTAACGGAATGTTTGTCGGTAGGATGCGTGGTGCAAGACTCAAGCGCTATCAATCTGGGTGTTTTGTCCGGAACTTTAAAGATTTACCGGACTTTCAGATTATCTAAGGACTTTATGAAAATGAGAAAACAGATTTGATTTTTGTCCCACTAACCATGGACTGACAGTGAAATTGCCACTTATCAAGTCTTTATGAATTAAATAGTCTCTACTAAAATTACTACATAAGCGCCAAGGTCTGAATGATACCTTTACAAGCTTATGCTATTTGGCCAGTAAATTGCACGCCATAGACGCTACGGTTCTCAAAATTAGGGCAACAAGCAAGTGGCCCAATGCTTAGAGGAGTGGACTTCTAACTAACAGGTCGCGAGTTCGAGCCTCGGATGTCCCACACTTGGGGGTTAGGTATGACTGGTTGACGACGGCTAATAAGCCAGAAATGGCCATCCTCGTCTCCTTTTTCTTTGTCGGTAATAACACACTGTCTATATTTCATAAAGTCTTTCATTTCTGCGTTTACTCGTCCCCAACAGAAGACGCTCCACAGATGTGAATTCTTTCGTGTACCCACGTTATTCGCCAGGTACTACATGTGATTACGGTGAAGTTATTCCTGACGACTTTGACGAAATTTTTGGCGTTCGTTTTCTTGAAATTCTTGAATAGGATAATTTTATTTAGCCAAGGCTGACAGGACTGAATAGAGCCACAGACGCCGTACCAAAAAGTAGTCCTTTTCGTCGGAGACAATATATTTAGAGTGAAGCAGGACCTAAACCTATTCGGCTCAAGAAAAAAGGGGAAAACGACAGTCATCGAGACATTAATGAACGCAGAAAACCATTTGACGCTAACACAGGGAGTGCACCCGCGGCTAAATGCTGGAACACCAGGCTAGGCATCTATTCGTCCGGTTCAAATAACAAGTCCTCGAGGTGCAGACCCAGCGCTTACCTTGCCAAGAATTGCAAAACACATCAGAAACTTTAGTTCAGATTTGTAAAAACCTTACTTTCATGAAATTATTCAGTTTGCGTACTACCGATCAAGATAATTTGAAAAGTATTCAAGAGCAGAACGCAGACTGGCTTTTTACAGGTTGGATGCGATTAGATCATTGCGTAGCGGAGAGCTCATCAAGCCATCGAGGATCGGACATAGTACCTTTGAAGTTCTCATCAAATTAGAGTTTACTGTTTCCGAGCTTAGATCAGCAGTACTTGGAAGATTCGCAGTAAATTAATTTAGTGTCTGTGGTTTAACTTCAATGATGTTCGATCCGTGCGGGATGGTTTCGATAAAGCAGTGAACATAGACAATGATGGTGCAGCAAACCTTTGACTTTACGGGACTTTGCTCTTCGGCCTCCCAAGTGGAAACATTACTGTGATTGTGGCATGGATTTCTAACCTACTTTATAATCAATACCGAATTCAAAGGAAAAGAAAACAACGACCACGCATGCATACTATTCGGACATCGAAAATAAGAAGAACTTACAGCTTTTGGTTGAAGCTTTGGGTTGAGGACAACTTTGCCGATGTTATTTCTTTCTTGCAGCTTTTGCATGGCTTCTTTTGCCTAGGATAAAGAAACATACTTCAGTTCTTGGTCTGCTTCGGCGGGTTTTGAAAAATCGCATTTACTTCAATCGGCTATTGATGTTAGGGTTTAATTTTATGCCGGGCAAATCTTCCCCTCGGCCTTTGTAGGATCAGATTGGGAGGTGTTTGTGGGTACTAATTTTTGTTACATATAGGACGCTTGTGGAGTTTTAGTGATTATCACAGATGGACATAAAAAACCTGAAAGCACCTATCTCTTCTAAATCTCCCCTATTCATCGTAACTGCTCTCGTTACAGGGTCTGTTTGCTGTACTTTGTCCTAAAGGTTCTTAAAGAAGCATGTTCGATAAGTGTACTTTTAAGTAGGATCCTCCCTGTGCATCCTGATAATTGTACCTCACAGCAGAATGAAGCAAATCTTTATACAAATCATGAGATGATTAGACAAAATCACGTACCTCCTCAAAACACCAGACGCTGTCGACGATTGGCTCAATTTTCTTTTCGGAAAAGAGCTTGCTGAGTTCTTGCCAGGCCTCAAAGATAGTACTTAGTTGGGCGTGCTGGCGGAAAATCAGGGATCTGAGGGAAAAGCCTCCCAAGACCTTGCTCTCCTCTTGGAGCTTCAGTGGGTTTATTCGGTCCATTTGAATCCACTGTCAGAGAAGGCAAAGTATCTCGTAAAACTTGAGTATCCAATGAAAGTTGGGATTTCTGGACGCAGAACCAACACAAAAGAGTTTCTTCCGCCAAATATGCATAAATTCTGCTTTTTAGTTCATACCTTAAACGTCCCCGAAACATACTTTTGACGACCAAAATACTCGGAGAAATCAAGATCATTAGCATTCGTAAAAAAGAACGTTAACTATTTGCCTTGAAACGTTTTCAAAAAAATGGAATTTTAGATAAATTAGCCAATGCATTATGCAGGCTATCGACGTGAATTTTGGAACGGGAGGACTAAGCTACTTCCCTAACTTTCAGTACGATGAAAAGCCGCACCTTAGAGCGTGACACATAAGAGGTTATCTAACTCATACAATTTTCATAGCTTTACCAAAAATAACTAGCCGACCTGAAACTAGTTCTAACGCAATCACTAAAACAGCAAACTAAAGACGAACGACCTCCAGATAATTGAAAACGTAAAATAACTATAAGAAATACAGTTTCGTTGATCATCTGCAACAATTTTTTAAGAAAGTCGAAAATGACAAATACACAGGCATTCTTGTCCTATGAGTATATCTGCGTTTTAGGAGGGTATAACGCTTGTTCATGCAAAAACCGACTGAAAACAGTGTAAGTACAGTCAAGTTTAGGCGTCTCGTAACTCAGGTACAGAGAACGTTGGCTGCACTAAAACCCTCCTTTTTCTGTCGTGTGTCCGAATCCAACCGAGTGGCCGAGTTTTCCACAGTTGGGTCAAAAGTGGGTAATACAGAATTTGCAAAAACAACTATTGGCTATTGTTTTAACGCATTTTCATTAAATATCCTCCGCGTATAAATGTTATAGGAAGTTTGACACGGAACCAAGTGAATAATTTAGCTTGGTCTATTTAGTGTTTATTATGCGTGGTTGATTAAAACAATGAGGGTTTCATTTGACTTTGCTGATAAGGACGTTAGATAAATAAAAGTTTCGATAGGGTCATCCGCTGATAGACCGGTCAGCAGCTTTCAAATTTGCGTACAACTGGCAGGTTAATCGGAGGCGAACAGCTTTGTGTGTGCCGTCTTTTCCAACAGTGCAGTCAATCAAGTCTCACAGCGTCCTTGAAATACCAGTAAATACTCGAGGATTTTCAGTGCTTTCAGCCAAATGCACATAAAGATAGGTCCCATGTTATGTATTTATCAAGATCGTCAAAAAAGATATTTCCTGAAATCGAGACCCCATTGTCGAAATCAACGAACACACTTAAACAATGAATATGATTCCGTCCAAGTTAATTACTTTTTTTACTAAGTTGCCTGTTTACAAATTGGCTTAATGCAGTATTCCGCCGATGGTTGTCCATATATTATGTCCCTTTTTGTATGGTAAGGTCAAAAAAATGAAACTTTTAACCTTTGTTTCCACTTTTCTCAAAAATGCTGATATTTTTACGCCAAAAACGAAAAAACAACATTTTTCTTTACATTCCAGCCATTTTCACTTTCTTCGCTGTATTTTAGCCCTGCTCTACAAATATGAACGCACAGAAATGTGGCCACGTAAATATTGACATATTGCCGTTCGCATTAAAGGTCTCCTGTCATATGTAAATAATTTGAAATGCCTATTCGATCATGGTCACTTTGGCGTTCTTGAATGTGCTAACAAACGATTACCTGCGGGCCTTTTACCTCATTTTAGTGCATGAGATCGCACAGATTTGGAAATCTGACCCTTAAAAATTGAGAAGACGTTTGGTTTTCTAAACATGGCCTGCTCGTTCGCGGCAAACCTCTCGTGGCCTTTCTCAGACAAAGATCTGTTTTCATGTGTGACAAGTCTTGTTTGTTAGAACTCTCAAAGAACAAGCTCAGTTGCGAAAACCAAGCCTAGATCAGCTATGGATGAAAGAAATTGTCTGATATTCGGTAACGCAGATTTCGGCCTAGACCTATAAACAATTCAGCTTAAAACATATGTTATGGGCGAATTCCGCATGCAAAAAGGACATTTTGTAAAATGGGCTACATAATTAAATAAAAGGGTTAACGTTTTCGATGCCTGAGATTGATATTTCAACTTTCACCAATAAGTTTCGTGTGTTTATTTACATACTGTAAGTACAACGATTACTTTTTATTTTCTAAATTAATTTGTTTGGTCTATTAACATTTTGAAATATGGCAGTTGCTGTAATTTTGAAATCGCATTAAACAGAATGCTGCCGAACGGGAACTCGCTATGCGAACGCTCCTGACTAAGAGTTCACAGTGCAAGGTTCTTAAGACTTAATTCATGCAGTCTTCTAAGTTGCGATCATGCTTGGCAGACAATGATCACCAGGGCAATCTGCCAACTTCAATCAATACAAAGATAATTACTGCAGTTGGTCTTCTCTACTTAATTCAGGGATGCCGGAAATTTTTAGTAAAAGGTTCGTAAATATTCGCGCAAATGAGGTAATTTGCATAATACTAGTTGATTTTCAGTAAGCAGCCTACGACCCGCTTTTAGCAGAAGAACAAAGGCGTCGAAACCGCATATAACAAACCATAATCGGAAAGGCACATCCAAACCCCATTTATCAGATTAGTTCGGATTCCCTTAAAATTCTTTCGATTCTCGTCGAAAACATTTAAAAGCTATTTGATTAGAAAATAGCTAAGATTATATAACTTGGAAAATTTCGTAAGTCGGTATTTAGTCCGTAAGGTAATTAGAAAAAGGGAGCATGAACGGATGTTTCATCTCCTATATGTAAACTACTAAGTGCCGCTAATTAACGTTTACATTACCTATCATTCTTAAACAAGCGGTAGTAAATTAAGGGCTGTCCAAGACTTCGGAAGTACTTTTAGGAATATGCCCAATAACACTACTAACATTATGTCCGTGTCGTCCCAGGTTCATTTTAGTTTTGACTAACTTCAAATGTCCGTAATCATTTCATACATTAATAATAACACAATTAGGATATTCATAACTTGTATGAACACGGTTAAAGCGATGCGGGGACGAAATTATGGTACAACATGAATTTGTCTTGCCATGTTAGATCGGCATTGAAAACGTTTTACGTCCCAGATGTGTGTTTACTCAAAGGTGCCTTTTAAACTGTGTTTTGTTAAATGCTGCAAAACAGCCAATAAAATAATTCCATCCCACAATAGGATCAAATGCATATGGATCTATCTATTGCAAATTTGTGTGACATTTTTTAATAAAACGCTTTTGTACGAACTCCATCTTCTACTGAGCCCTAGCTCTGAATGAATGTTCAGTCTATTCCATCCCAAATACACTAAATATATGTCAGTATGTTTAGAATGTGACTGATTTCCTGATAGTAACGCACATTGCGCCTAACCATGGTTAATAGCGTATCCTATGCCCGCTCTTTTCCAGAATTGTTGCTGATGGTACGCTCCGGCGGAATGCAATTGCATAAATATATGTGCAGTAGATGTGCTAACTCAGGAAATGTTAACCGAAATACTGACTTGCGTTCGCGACTCGAAAAGACCACTTGGGTAGAGTAATGCAATATTACTTAGCATGCAATATAATTCCAAGACAATTGAGGTACTACGAGATGCCAGATTTTGAATAAACGTTTTTTCGGCTACCTTCAAAAGCAACACTGTATAAAACCTACTATTAAAACAACATGATTTTTCCTTACTGATTTCCGATGCCCTTATAGATCCATATATATTTTCCAGAAATCATGCATAAAAATATTCATTTTTTTACTCATTTAATAGAAAAGTACGTCTTTGCTGAATTTGGTACTTGAAGAAACGGTGTAATTCGGTTTTAAAAACTTTTCCAATTCCCAAATAAATTTGAACACGACTTGCCGTTGCACTTGTAGTCAGAGTCTTGAAACTAAAAGCTGTATACTTTCCACGTACGGAAAATCATGCATAAATCCTCTTTAAGGTATTAAGAGGAAACTATATGGGGTTCACAAAATTTAGCAGTGTACTTGGGCCATGTTGTAAACTGTAGAAGCAACATCAGCGAATGCGGAGACACGATGTTTTATAAAATTGCATTTACTATTTTAAACGATCACATAATTAGAAACTTTTTAAAACTAAATCACACCTATTTGAAAAAGACGCAATTTTCCACCAGATGAGCAGAAGAACAAATATTTTTATGCGTGTTTTCTGTGAAATATATTTGAATTTATAGGGGTATCGAAAGTCGCTGAGAAAAATCCATACCACCCATGTGGTCTTTTTTTAACAATTGCAGTTTTTTCAGGCGGCCGGAAAAATGTTATTTGAAAAGCTGGCATTCTGATATAACATAAGTATCTTGGGATTGTGCTGCATGGTGACTTATATCGCCACCCTGCTTACGTAGCATTTTCGAGTCACGAACGTACTTCAGAATTTCGGTTAACATTTCATGAGTTAGCACATCTACTGTGGATATATTTCACTTTGCGTTTATGCGTCCTGTTGTCTAATGAGGACATTTCATTTCAAAACTCTGAAACGTAGGCAGGTCAGTCAGTTAGTCAAGCAGGATATGACCCCGTAGAAAAGCGGTAAAGTTCAAAAACGCAGGACTTTAACGGGGAAGGCGGCAGTGGAGGCTCAGACAAGAACGCGTCGCAAATCTGCTAATGCCAAACTTGTTTAATATAATCAAGCGGTCGTGTAGATGGAAGAATATGTTCCTGTATTTAGATACGTGATACGGTGCTATTTTATTCTGTGTGGTTATATCCGAATACGCTTCTTTACCAGTTCAATATACATAGCAATGCTTGCAAAAAAGACGTGAACGGCATTAATAAGAATCATCCGGTAATAAAGGCCCGCACGGTTATGCACACAGTAGCTTCTACGTGTCAATATTTCTGTCAGGGCAAGTTATAAAAGCAGTCCAAAGTCTTACAGATTTCGCAAAGCTGAAGAGGTTTTTCCTGTCGCCGGTTACGAAATTTGAACTGCCTAAAATACAAAAGGGGGAAGTTAGAATTCCCTCAAAAGGGGGGGAGGGGTGGGAGCTGGGGTTTCATACTATTTCCTACACTATTTAGCTAAGATTCCTGCGTAGAAGTATAGGAAGGGATACTCTCGCAGTAACTTCAAACAAATGTGAAAAACCTGTATACTGACCGTAGATAACGTAGCGACCCATTGGCTGCAGGAGAGAAATACCCTTATTGGTGTCCTCGCCAGATCGGCTGTCCAGAACAACTGTTACGCCCTGTGGGTGTTCCCTAAAATGGGACAAAAAAGTCTTTTCTAGAGGTCACTGTGTATTTTGGACTGATATACAATTTTCTTATTTCGCAACTCTGAACGGTCAGGACGCGAGCACGTCTATCGGCGCATCGAAAAAGACATGCGACCAAACAGCCCGTAGTCATATGTAAAAAACGTGTCAGTACGCAGGCTTGTGGCCGAAACGCTGCAGTTAAGTTTTCTAATGTCAGATACCAGTACACATCTCGAAGCGTTATGTTTTCACGAACTATTCACAGCTCGTAACGATGCAAATACGTAGGACTTGCTGCAATACTACTGGCGATCATCTAGTGGGGAGTGAGGGACTGTAGTTTTTAATGCGAGGAGTTCAGCTGGATTCATCAACCTGTATATTACAGTCTTTAAGGTTTTTGACATTCTGTCATGCCATTATTCAGCAAACCTTGACTCTCGCAGACTGGTGGGCGCTGACAGAACTCTGGTACCTGGTTCTTCGCCGGTTGATGAGCTTGCGCTCCCGCTCGGTATACAGGTCGTGAGCATAACTGCCCAGTCATCCTTGTCCTTCCAAACAGTTGTGGTGCTGTTGTTGGTGAAAATCCTCATCAGGTGTTTGCTTTGAACCAAGGGGTGTGGTACTACTCCTAGGTGTGGGTCCAATCGTGCCAGTCACCTGTGCGCTATCGCGCCCACAGCTTCTTGACTGTCCTGACACCGGCCCAGGTGCGGAGAAGGAGAGAGTGTGGTAGATGCCGCGCAAGTTTACCACCCCTATAAACTAATTCACGCGCAATTCACCGTGCCTGCTTCACAATGCCGTGGGGCACACACTGGACATCGTCGGGCGCGCAGGTCGAATCGTCGTCATATTAGCGTCAGCCTGGAATTGGTGGGGGTGTCACACCTTTCATAGTAGGCGTTTATCAAGGGGACCAAATTTTGTTTTGACTTAATCCGAAAAGAGTGCTTTAACACACGCTGCCCTTCAATTGAAACTAAAGAATCAATTCTTTAAGAGAAGGCAAAGGCACGATCACTGGGGCAGTTGATTTATTTGCCTGAGCTTTCGAACTCGAACTGGAGTTCATCATCAGAGACTACTTGAGTGCAGCAACTTGTGAACATTTCTATCGCTCGTCCTTGCGGGGGGGGAGTACGTCCGTGGCTAGGTAGGGTTTGTGCCGCCTGGCCTTTATTTTAATCATGCATATGTTGTCAATGACAGATCCGTAAGTCATTTCTGACTCAGGGGTTCGGAAGTAAACCACACCATTATAATTTCAAGATAACTGAAACGACCCTTATCAGCAACACTTTAAATCAACCAGGTGTTGACTATGAGAAGAACGAACGGACGCAATTTATTTCGATGCCTTACGATCGTGTAAAGAAGAGGTATTTTCGCGGTAATGTTATACTGATTGCTTTCAATGTTATGATTTCCGTAATTCGGAGTATGTTTAAACACTTAACGCCCTCCCCCGATCGGCCTGAAAAACGGTTTTAAAGCATTACTGACCGTCGTCCGCACCGCACCGCTAAGCGGCAGCCGTTCGGGTGGTAGGCTACCACACACTGAGATTGCGCTGCCCTACTGAGAATGAGTCATGCGACTGCAAAACATAACTGACTCGCACTCGGACAGTGTTTACGTTGTATACTGGCGGGATGTGCGTGAGGGAGGTTGACAGTCACGAAGAAAACAGGCCGGCACATAACAGGGCACGTCGCCGGTCGCAGGGCTGAAATCAAAAGGACGTGGCCCAAAACGGACATTTCTCGCAAATGCCAAGCACTGTGATAGAGCCCGGTTGCCGACAGGACGCCCTTTCGAAATTATCTGCAGGTGGCGGACTTCCGGCCAATTGCAGTGCCTTTGGTATGTGTGTCTGCCAGCATTCCCAAATGGATGGCGCAAGAAAGTAACCTTTGTGCCCGCCGCACGACCGCCCTCTGCTCTCCTTCCCCGGCAATCGATGCGACGTACACGATTACTTCATGTGGGCTATTTCTGTCTGTTGCCTAAAAGAACTGGCTGACGACGGCTAATAAGCCAGGAGGCCATTCCAATCTCCCTGGGCTTTATCGGTAAAAACATACTGCCTACATCATGTGCCGCTGTGCGGCTGCGGGTTGGGCTAGAGTGAGAGCTCTTAAGGCACAAGGGAACGAGTAAGTTCCGTATGAACGATCGGTGAGCGCCGCTACCATTGTATAGTCTCGATCGAAAACCAACAGGGCAACGGGCTCGTGGCCCAGTGAGTAGAGGCGTGGAATTCTAACTAACAGGCCGCGAGTTCGAGCCTTGGGTTTGCCACATTGCGGGGTTGGGTATGACTGGCTGACGACGGCTAATAAGCCAGCAATGGCCATTCAAGTCTCCCTTGTCTTTGTCCGTAATACCATTCTGCCTATATCATGCGCAGCTGTACGGCTGCTGGTTGGGCTCGAGAGAGAGAGCCCCTCAGGCACAACGGAACGAGTGACTTCCGTAAGAACGATCGGTGAGCACCTTCCACCATTGTATATCCTCGATCGAAAACCAACAGGGCAACTGGTTCGTGGCCCAGTGGTTAGAGGCGTTGGACTCCTAACTGACAGGTTGCGAGTTTGAGCCCCAGGTGTTCAACATTTCGGAGTTGGGCATGATTGACTGACGACGGCTAACAGGCCAGAAATGGCCATTCCAGTCTCCCTTGTCTTTGTCGACAATAACATTCTTAAAGTCAAGTTATGCAGACGCAGTAATGCAACGTTTTTTCGAGAAAAATGAAGTTTTGGTAGAAATTTCTGTGTTTTAGGTTTCAAAAACAAAAAATTCGTGCGTTTGGTTTCAGGACGCAAGAGCCGGAATCCTCTGCGCTACAATTGGCCTTTCGTCCGATTCCAGGGGGACTCTAATTATGCTAAAGATTAGAGTTAGAGCTACAGATAGGGCTGCGGTTTGCGTTAGGATGAGGGTGATGATACAGAAATGAGCACCTTTCCTAAAATCTAGCCTATCATGAGGGGGAATTCCTTTTCGCGCATCTTAGCTATTTTCAAATTAACGAAAGTGGTTTTTTCGACATATTGACTCTTTTTTGGACTGTGCCATATAATGGGCTGCGTCATAGCTTTTGACCTAACCGGCAGTCAAACACTGGTTTGGACGATATTGAACGGAGTTATCGTGCCATTTCAGCTGCCGGTCACGATCTGACTTCCCTTCGGGCTGCCGCTGTTATTCTACGAAACAGGGACTACGGGGTGAAATGTGATTCAGCGCTGATCGATTGCCTTCGTTATCCTGTATGCCAAAATCTGACGCGTCAGAAGTCGTGTTTTGAAATGTTTAAAATTGACAAAAGACCAGTTGACCTTCCTTCGTGGTGATAGTCAAAGCGTGATTGGTGTTTCCTAATATGGTCTCTATGGCGATCCTACTGTATTTTTTGTCGGGATTGCCTGTGTAGGGGCTGGCATCTGTATGTCGCGCGTGAATCCGTCTACCGTTATAGTAGCCGCAGAACTCGTGTACTAATAGTCTGTGTCTTGTGTCTTAATAACTTATATAAATGGTGGGCGAGTCTCCTTCCCCGTGATTTAGGTCACACAAAGGTCACTTCTGCACCCTGAAAACACTGGTCGGCCTCGTTGTTTTTTGGCTGACAGACATATATGCACAGAGGAAATGAAAAGTTGGCTTCTGAGTCAAAAAGATAAATGTCAAGATTTTCCAAAGTCTCTATTAAGTCTATCAAAAGATTGCAAGAAAACGTCCAATTATTGATCCAAGAATTGACTGTTCACATTTACCTGAGCCCCTATATTTGACAGCTTAGCTGCTCTCGAACAACTTGGGACCGCATTGGCTTTCAACGCTTTCTTATCGGGCTTTGTCCAGCGTGTGCGGACGCGAATGTGTCTGTTAGGGAGCGATTTATCCAGGAGAATGCTTTGTCATAACACAGATGCGCTTGCCCCACTGTGTTAAATAGAGTACGTTTGAACCTACCACGACACGCCAACGGTCGTCGGTCGGAAGGTTGCCATTTAAAGAGACAACTTGCTCCTTCATTGAAACGAGAGCCCGACTGCAGGGGCGTCTTCTCGATATGGTCTTTATTAGAATCGTACCAGAGTAAGGTCCAACTTCCAAGCTTAAAGTTAGTTTGTTGCTTTTGTAAAGGGGAGGGGACAATGTGTTACCCCAATGAGGCAGGCTATTTAGTTTGGTCGTGCGCTGCGCCCCCCTCCCCCCATGATTTTTTGCCATCAGAGAGTTTGGGGCTTGGGAGGTGAGAGGCAGTTCTGTATACCACAAATCTGCCTCACTATAAACAAACTCACGTGCAGTCACGGCTGAAAACGCCTCGCGGTATACCTTGTCTCTTTCGACGGTCTAATTATCGTGGGGGCGTAAAAGGAAGCACTTAGGCACGTTTTCAAATAAAGCACTACGGATATTTGTCTTCATGCTTTTAAAAATTGCCTAGTGCCAGTTTTAATCTCCCAAGAAATGCATCTTATTGTACGTACGCACTACATTCTACACAGACAAGCATCTGGAGACGGACACTTACTTTTTGACCTCGGCGACATAGTCCTGACTGGTGTTAATCAGCTGATCATAAAGAGGCGTGAGTTTTTCGTGCTTGTTCGCAGATGCTATTCCGATGAGTTTCACATTCCCAATGAGTTTAGCCAGTTGTCCAATAGCCGTGCCCTAAATGAGTTGGGGAAGAGTGTATAACCGTTATCAAGTTACCGCTTTAGACAATATCACATCTAAATTGCTGATGTAGTCTCTGCTGGGGAGCTTCCATCAAAAGCATAATCCGTTTTGAGGTTTTGACCTCAAGTTTAGCCGAAGTCTACTTTTAGGGTGAAAACGGACAACAAAAAAAAGCTTCGTGGAGACGGCCTATACGAGAAACTTAAGACGATAATTACCGAATGAAGATTCTTATGGGAAAAAAACTCAAGTAAACGTCGTTTTTTAGCATAGAAATATAAAACAAATGAAGAAATGACGCGGGAGGGAGTTGCTGGTGACTAAGATGGCAGTCAGAGACAGAGAACAAGGAAGATGGAAAACGATAATCGTAAGGTCGCCAAACAGTGGTCTACATGATTGTTGTTAGAAAAAGACATCAAGAGCGTGAAGCATACAAGAGTGCGGGTTCGAGAAGGAGGTGAAGTAGACGGAAAAGAAGGGGTTTTGGTATTATTAACGGTAATAGCAGAGGTGGCACTAGTACAAGTAGTAGTTTTAGTTGTGGAGGTAGTAACTACATTAGCAAAGGCACCAGTAACAGCAACATCAGCGTCGGAAGCCCGTTGGCAATAGTAGTGACAGAAGTAGCAGCAGTAGTATAGGCAGTCGTAATGTAATTATTGATAGTGGTAAAATCATTAGTAAAAAACTAAGGCAAGAGGATTGAAGTTTAAAGAAGTAATAGAAGTAGGACGCAATAGAGCGGAGGACTTTTCAAAATAGTAGACCCGAAACCTACATGGAGGCAACTAAGCGTACGAGTCATAATACTCAAAGTACCACTCCGAGTATAATAAGAATAACTTACAACGCCGCCGCCGGCCGAATGGACCAATACAACATCGTTAGGTCGAACACAGGCCACTCGATGCAGAAGGAGATAGGCCGGCAGGTATGACATTGGGACTATAGCTGCCTGAAAGTCAGTCAGGCAGGCGGGTTTGGGCAGCACCAGTGCGGGCGGGGCGGCGGTCACGACGGTGGTCTTCGTCTCAGCGGCCTCAGTGCCACTCGCCTCTGCCTCCTTCTCCTCCTCCAATTTTTCGCACATTGGGCTTATGACGAGTCGTTCGGTCCAGGCACCGCCATCACAGAGCACGACCACTTCATCTCCAACCTATGAAATGCACCAAAAAGGTGTCAATGATTACTGCCGAATATTCACGCTGCACAAAGGCATCGTTGTTCTCAGTCATTTTTGTGGATATTATGGCCACTAATAATCGTCGCCGCCGAATCGTCGTCTGCATAAACCTAAATGTCGATAAATGATCGGATTATGAAGGTGCAATGAAAGGACTTCTGCGCTCAACACAGAACCGTTTATTTAATTTTGGCGTTCTGGCCCAAATCCAGTCACAATTTCCTTCCATCTCAGGTGAGTGCAATTTGTGATAGTGCATTTAATTTAACGGGAGATATTCGTTTTGCACAACAGTCAGATTTTACCGCGATCGGTATATTCCGCCCAAACCAAACCACCGTTCTGACTATAATCAGATGTGCCTCTTTGTTGTAAATCGAAAAACAATTTCTTTGCAAGTAGTACTCTTTGCTCATCAAGCTGTCGCAATACGAAAAAAGGGCGAAAATAGTGGACATTAGACGTCACATAACTATCGGGCAAGTGACCTACGGAGAGATGTCCAATACTGAATTTTTAGGCCTCAACTCGACGTTGCAATGATCACTTGAGTGAAGAACAGTAAACTTCAAATAATTAATTACACAATGCCAACTCTGAAGTTAAAAAGCACTAGTAGTAATATAATTTGAATTGGCTTAACTTAGGATAATGGCCTGTATTATGGTGTCCAGCATGCCCAGTAGATGTGTTATCTCGTGAAGTGTTAATTGAAATGCTAATATTTCTTTCTGATAAGAAAAGACTACATATGTTTGGTCCTAATATTTATTATAATGCAACGTAACCCAAGTATATTTCAGCTGTGTCAGGACTTTGGCTCTTGAAGGGGGTCCTTTTCAGTCGCCAGCAAAAAGTTAACTCGAAAAAATGGCTACTTAAGTAGTATGAATTTCTCCAAATGATTTCGATGTCCTTATAAATCCAAACATAATTTAAAAACACGAAATAAGTATTCTTTCTTGAATCCATTTGGTAGATATTTAATTGTTTTCTAATTCCGTACTTGAAGGGAGGACATCTTTCGATTTTAAAAATGTCTCATTTCCCAAATACCTTCGAATCCGACTTTCTCTTACACCCGCATTCAGAGTTTATAAATTACAAAATTTATGGCTGCCTTATGAGAAAACTCGCCGTTATTGAGACGACAAATAGGCCTTATAAAGCTTACTGTGGATGTGAACTATGTTGTGTGCTTTTCAAGAGCCATGTGAGAATTTATGAATTAAGGGTCTTTAAAACGGATGATCAAAAACATTTTTGAAAGCCAAAGACCATTCAACTTCAAGGGGAAAATTTGAAAAACACGTAATGCGTCGCCAATTGAAGAAAAAAATACTTTGTGCATTATTTGATAAAAATATATTCGAAAATTTAGTAACCCCGAACACTACACAAAAGGTCCTTTTTTGCAAAGTGTAGATTTCCAAGCAGTGGAAAGGGAGCTTATTCAAAATCCGGCATTCTTGCATGACTAAAATGTCGGGGAATATGCTGCACGATAATTGGTTGTATGAAGCCTTTTAAGTGCTCTATCATAATCGAAAATACTTTTTGAACTTCAGTCGGTATACCATGTACAGAACGCCAAGGCACGCATTGAAGAACCGCAGCCCTATCACTTGTGGCCTAAGCTAGTCAAAACATCGAGCATGCATTTGGGTGGGCCTTTATCCGCTTTCGAAGAATGGTGGAGGCGCTGCCATGTATGTAGAGCTACTTATGGAGGGCAGATAAACAAGAGGTGTTTTTGATTATGGTCAACACCGAATCAAGCAAATGTGGTCCTTGATTCGCAGTCAGGCTTTTTTTCGCGAGTATCAATACCCGCACCTTTTACGCATTCAAATGCGAGTTTTGCTCAGTTGTAAAGGTTTGAAAGCAGAAGGTATATCGGAAACATCTGCTCAGATGTTTTTCTGCCCTTTTTTGGCTTGAAGTAAGTGAGATACAAGTTACGAGTCCCCAGGGGCTAGCTTACACCTGCAAGCGCGTATGAAACTGAAATGCGCAGCTCCTGTATTGCCCACATCAACAACCATTTCTTCAATAATTAAGGTTTTACTGGGTGGATTTTGAATCAGGCACACATGCGCCCGAGTAAATCGAGATGAAGAGCCTCCTTAATAGATGACAGACGGTCGTCTTGGGGAAGAACTTTGTCTTGTCCTCTACCAGCGTGCGCTATTACGTTTGTTTGGAAACTGGCTGAAACTGTGAATGGATAAATTGCTGATAAGTGAGTAACATTTGCGTGTCAATCCCTATTTTTTATTTAGGAACTCCAAGGATGTAAGCATAGAGTGGGTGTAAAGTTATTCATTAATTATTTGTCAAGATATACTCTTAAGTAAAAGACCCTTTTAAATTTCTTATTATTTGCCTAGTTAGAAAACAAGGCAGAAACGACTCCAAGGCTTCATATTTTTTCACATGCTAATAAAAATCCAAGTCCTATGAATACTGGGTGCCGTCGATCATCAGCCACTTCTCAGGTATTTTCAGACCACTTTATTATACACTACGGACGAATATATGCGATTAAAAACCAGGACGAAGGTAGACACTTCGCGCAGTCGAGGACTGAATACTCGATTCCCCTAGTGAAGTCGATTTGAGTTATGAAACCAGATGAAATTCGTCTATAGAGCAGGAAATTTGTGAAAACTGCCTGCCGCCATCAAAATCGAATGACGTGGATGTTTTATTTTGTCAGTAACTCGCACCTCAACAAGGTGGTACCTTTGCCAAACTGGCAAAGCCTACTGACTAGTGGGGTGCAAAACAAAGCCGAAACAGACGATCACTACGATGAACATGTTGGCTTCTGCATACTTTGGTTTAAAATGTATTGAAGGAAATCCCCGACCAACCGCCAAAGGTAACTCCAGTCAATCGATCAGAATGACCTTACAGTCGCCTAGATAGCTGGGCGTACTACACAGTCAACATGGCCATAAAGGGTTATAGTTACAATTGGCGATTTATGACTGAAGGAAGACCGGTTGAATATGTAGCACTTACATTGAATTTGGTGACACCCTCGCCGACCTCCGAGACCTTGCCACAGCACTCGCTGCCCATGACAAATGGCGGCTTCCCCGTCACTTCCAGCAAACCTTGTCTTGTCATCACGTCCAGGAAACCGATACCACTAAAAAGAGCATAAAGACAGATGATGTCCTCCATTTCTGCAGTGTCCTTTGAAGCTGCTCTGCCTTACACCTCAAGAAGTCATTCTAGGTCATGCTATTTATTAAAGTATGTAAAAAGAGTCCATCCTGGTATTTGGATCTGACGCGAAAAAATTTCCATTATGTAAAATGGGCTGTTATACGCTTTGTGCTCTCTGTGAACTCGTATTCTTCTCTTACAAGACGACAAACCGCTCTGAAGGAGCTGGAGTAAATTTATCCAAACGGAGATCAAAAAAGTGAGAATATTGATTTTATTCGGCTAGAGGTCGTGTTTTGGCAAGTGTAGGGGCGTTTACCCTTGTTAAACCACTCTACAAATCTTTTTTTGGTTAAATTAAAAATTAATTTTCGACAACTGAAAATTCGCAAAAGCAATTCGCTTCTAATTCGCAACAGCAGCTCGAAATCTGTCTCCCTAAAATCTTGAATTACCCATTTGCCAAGCATTGCTATTTTCACAACGTATGTGAGCGACTCCAGGCACAATTATCTGCACCACTCAACTGTTCTGGGCTTGCCTGCACCGACTCCCCAGGGCGATCACCTACAAGAATACAGGGCAGTTTGTTGCGCAGTGACACTTCAACTTCCCCCATTCCTGGATCTTAACTCTGCGAACACTTAGCATAATTTTTTTATCTGTGACATCATTTGTCTGTAAATTATGGGGTGCCGCGACACACATTGTCAGAATTTAAAATCATGAAATTCAGGATGTTGAAAGTGTTTATTCCTATGCTTACATGCGAGCTCTTGACTACGCATAAAATGCCAAAAGCAACGATTCATCACTCGACAAAAACTGTTCCTTGCAAGTCTGACAGCATATAGATCACTAAACAAGTCCTGCGCAGCCAAAAATCATTTGTAAATGGCAGATGCACTGAAAACGGCCGAACCTTGCCTCCTGATCGAAAAAGGACCAATGGAACGAATAAGGCTTATGAATTATGCGATTACACAGCCCTGAGATTTCCTCAAAGGGGGTGATTTGATGACAGTGGGTTACGTTGTGCTCGCTTACTGTCTGCTTATTTAAAGATAAGAAATGTATTTGTAAGATGCAACTGACTATCTCCACATTACAATAACGCAATAATACAGTCCGCGTTTGGGTAAAAATTTACGCTTTAAATTTAGCGAGTGTTGCCATAAGAGGGGCAGTGGCATTTAGATCTCCTCGCTGCCAGCTAGGTTTCGCTAGAATTGTCTTAAAAACGGACCCATTTATTTGACTCTGAGAGTAATTTAAATAGAAATGAGCAGTGGATTCAACCCGCGTACCAAATACATCGTGTCATCGTGATATGCAGGTGAAATGATTCCGAAGAGTTTTTTTAGTTCGTTCTGGCTGACACTGACCAAGTGTTAATGCGAAATAATTGAACATATAATGATGAAATGCTCTCGCGGTAGGCTGCTAGAACAAACTGTTGGACAGAAAAGACCGCATGCCTGCAACAGTTTTATGCATTCCTTGGTCAAACGCAATAAATATTTTCCAGCTGGTGGTGGTCTTAGCTGCAGACTAGAAACTTCCCCAACTGCTATTCGCCTTGTTTCTGAAGGTAATGTTCAGTCATCAGTTCACATTTTGTCTAATCATGAATCACAGTGTTGCTCCTCGCTAATCTACTCAGGAGCTCTTGATTCACATCGAACTACGAAATGGACGTCTTTATTTGTAGTTTATAAGAACATCCATCCTTTATTCAAACCTTCACCCTTTCCCTTTATACATCAAAAAATCTTGCCCATCTCTTCATGCAGATGTAGCGCAAACATTAACCGGTAGAGGCTTGATCATCGGCATACCAAACGCAACTACTCCGAACTAAATCAACCGCGTCCACAACTCTTCCGAAACTGCCTTTCAAAATATTCTCCTAACAATAAAAATGCCACCGCAAAATACTCCCAACCTGTCACTTTGAGTAGTGTTAATACTGGTACTGGTGAGCTTTATTGATATTTTCAATCTTTTTTATTTTCAGATAAGCTTTGTTTCTGTGGTCGCCTTCACTGCATTTTGCTAGTTTTATCGCAGTTACTCATAAGGCTTGGTGCGGTTAACTCGGAAATAATCCCAATCGACGCAACATGTTTTTTCCTCACGGAGCACAGCCTCCTCGTCTCGAGGTTTTTATTTGCGGCAAGAAGTTGGGTGCGGAAATACGGCCTGCCACTATCCTTTTCAGGACAACGTCCTCCTGGGAGAGGTTTTCTGCTCCCTTATCGCGAAGAGGTAAGGTGAAGAGGTCATGATAGGGGATTTCACAACTTGACCGATAACCCTCCCTCCCCCGCAGCGCGCTCCGTAAACTGATTTTCTTCAGATAACGTGAGGTCACGGCGAGCGTATATGGATAACTGATTGCCCCCTGGCGTCTTCGTCAATGGGCCATCTGGTGACGTTGAAAGACGTGGGGCCGTCGAAGAAGTGGGGTGCGCCTGTTGCGGATGCAACTGCAACACTTTGCGACTTCGGAGGTAGTTTTTGCGATGTTGTCAGCATTTTAGTTTTGAATGCATAAGATGGATAATTATCCGAAGAAAAGGAAGACGAAAAGGAAAAGAAGAATAAAAAAGAAAGAGGGGGAGAGGAGGGGGAGGGGGGAGGGGGGGACGAGGACGAGGAAGGGGAGATAGAACGTCTGACCGCCTCAGGCAAAGGTAAAGAGAGTTCAATTATTGCGGCCATTTAAGAATACAGGTTGAGTCCGGTAAAACTGGAGCTGCGAGATTATCACGTTACGTTCACATCAATGCAGCTGCCCGCTAATTACTGAAGACGTTCATGGCTATCAGAAAGACGCCTTGCCGTCAACTAGGAATAGTTGAGACTCTTCGTAGCATAAAATATGTCCTACAATCAATGGTGACAATGAGAAATGAAAGAGCGCACGAGAAAACCAGCTAGTTCTTTAGGCAAACCAAAGCGACGTAACCCAGTAGCGGAGAAATCCGAGGTGACACAGAGAAAGGCACAGTAATGAAAAACACCACTTAGACTTAAAGATGCAAATACTGTAGCGTTTGATTGCTAACAATTCGAAGTGTTGGTTTCTATTTTTGATGGTCACTTGATTAAGTTGGCCGGCTTGACAATAAGGAGGCGTAGCATTGAGGAGTAAGTTTGAAAAGCTGTCTCTTAGAGGTAAATGAGCTATCGAATGTGAATACGAAGTGCTGTAAGCGTAAGGATTACAAAAGTGCTCGCGACAAACAAACCAGTCATCGAGACCACAGTTCTACTATGCATATTCATCTCGCTGACCGAGTATCTTCACCTTTGAAAATTTTAAGGCTGTTTCTAAACGATTGGGTTTATGAAGCTGCTATTAAAGACCTTGGGTGGACAGTTGCTGAAAACTCTGCACTAACAAAAGGTGTTTTCTGTTTTATAACTACAGACCCAAACCATGAAAAATACGCCGATCTCATTGCAAGTGTGTGAAATGGACATATGATAAAAAGCGCTTTAAAAATCCGTTTTAAAGTTAAACAAAGTGTATGTGTGTTTCAATTAATGTTTTTTAGGGAAAACTCACGAAAAAATTGTGTATAGCGTAACCGCATCGTTTGGAATCTTGCTGTTAGAAGCGATTTTCGGATGATCTAGTGATGTATCGCGCGAGGTTTTGCTAAGAAATATTAATGGAGTTCTTTAAAGGGTGGTTTGTCGCAAAAAACCATTCAAGTGAGGTTGCGAAATCGACGGACAGAGCATATAATTCATTGTTACAATTTAAAGGGCAGTGTACCGACTTCGGTTTGACAAACACCCTCTGTAAAGCACTTTGATCAACGATATTTTATCGGTGGGCGGGTACCGACTGACTTATAATGCCTCTAAAAATCCACCACCTATTTCAGAAAAAAAAAACCATTTTGCGTACCTATCTTGTTGGGAATTACACACCCCTTAAAATTTGTGCATGAAATTCTTCGTTTTTGGAATTTTGTTCATTTCTGCCAACTCAGAGCCAAACGCACGTCTGTGCTGGCTATCAAAATTAATAAAACGCATTCTATGTATCAACTCCGTAACAATTTCGCATATTTTCTGATTTCTCCTTTAAGAGGCTTTTGACTCGCATGACATTTTATATCTGACGTAGATACTCAACCAGCTTGTTGATAAGAGGGAGTGAAAATAATGTACAACGTCTGAAGAGTTTTTACAATTGCAGTTCTCTTTAAAGTTAGATTGAAACATAAGTTCGCGCAGAACAGGTATAAAAAAGCAAATATTCGTGCACCTTTTTAATGAATTGCATTGACTTTACCCGAAAATTTGGAAGAGGTGCTAAAATAACTCGCTGAGTAAGTGGCACTCCTATTCGAATTTCGGGTCGTAGGTGATCTTACATTTAACGTGGAGGGTTAGTTTGCCCGTACAGGTGGTTAGAATGTCCTTGCGTCTCTCGGCATAAATTGGCTTTAATTTAAATCTCCTGTCAATCGCTATTGATATTTCATTTACCTGCTTCTCTCGTTGAAGGGTTTTTTCATTTCCTAACTCATCGCCTCCAGTAGATCCTTCCAGCTCAGTAATAGTTAAACCAGGCAAGACAAAATTGTTGATCTCAAAATATATCCACCCGTTATTCTTTATAAATATTAATAATGTTTTCTAGGTCTTAAGTGGGTACTTTAAACACCATTCACTTGTCAAATGGAACACAGACACACGCCTATAGTTCTTCGTAAAATTCGGGATGATCCCCAAGACCAAGTTTACAATATCGTTTTAGACAGTTAACTTAATATATATAGGCTACAATTCATTATCTAGATCTGTTTTAGTACTTTTTCGTTAGATACATTTACCAAATTAGGAACCTACTGTTTTAGGCCTCCAACTCACCAGGCTTCGACTTCTACTGCTATCTCTCCCTTCCCAACCGTCTTCTGGTCTTTGGCCTGGAGACGTACATATTTCGGTCCTCCAAAGCCCGTCAAATAGATGGATCTGGTTTGCTTAACTGGCGGCGTAGGCACTGCCTCCTCTTCCTTTGCCGCCGGTGCTCCCTCCGCTGGTGTCTTCTCTGCAGGTGCTGTTTCTGCCATTTTGATGTATTTCTCACTTTCTAGAGCGTCCTCGTGTGAAGGTGATGTGAGCGGCAACTGAAGACCTCGTCGATTTGTAACACGACCGTGAGGCAAGGTGACACTATATTCTCACCGGTCTGATGGACAGGCGCCCATCCACTCACTTTCTGACGACCGTCTGATTGGACAGAGCTGCTGCGCCTTGATTGGGTGATTTAGGCCTGCCCAGCCTGCCGTAACTGCCACCACCGCCGCTGCTGATAATTATTTGGTGGACGGAGAAGGGATGGTGGCTGGACTGCATAGGAGCGGTCGTTGTTAGCTCGCCCCCAGAAAACTTCCGCGGCGGGCTGTTATGAGTCTGAATGAGGCTAACGCCGGTGAGGCAGAGCCTGCCAGACCGCTCTTGCCGACTAACCAAAACATTGGGATTTAGGGTAGTTCTCGATTTTACTTCGGCCGGAAGTCACTGCCAGGTCTTCTCTTAGCAAACCAGTCTGGATTAAACTGACCAATAATTATCAACAGCATAGGATAGTGCTGGGCAGTCGTTTTACTTAAGAACTGTGCTGTGTGTATAGGCCTGCATAATCCCATGCCTGGAATTTGCTGGTTACTACAAACGAGATGGGAATAAGGTGGGAATGCTGTTTTTATTACTTTGATCGGATTACGTTGCTGGCAGTTTCTGTCCACTTATAGTTTTTAATCATTAACTGGAAATGCCGCCAAATTAACTTAGATCCCTTTCCCTACCCTTGCAATCCTGGACGGCGGAACTGACCACGTAGAATGATCACGGACTAAATAGTTATTTTCGGCTAACCTACCGCATCAGCCAACCAAGATTCAGCCTCAGACCGCGGAGACCTCGAATTTAAACCCAGGTTGGTTAATAGTAGGGCCAGGAGTAAGGGTCGGAACATTAGACTACTTAATCAATCTGACCGTTTGGATACATTCAGTAATAGATGGAGATAAAAGCGGATTTCTTCCAACTCCCTTCGTATGAGATCTTGATCTTTTGTGTGCGCAACCAGGTCGCGTATTTGGCACGTGCAAAAGGGCTGTTTTAGCCCCGTCAGTCACTGGGCCAAAACCCGCGTCACTTGAATGACCAGCTCGGACAGTGGACTGGCGCCCTGGAGAGGGAAGAGAGAGTGAGGTCGATGCTCTCCGCGCGTATTTCTCACTTTCAATTATCTGACATCCTTGAGTATATTTTTGTATGCTAGAATCCATGGCATGGAAGGCAGTCAGTTAGCAGGATATCTCGACTCTCCTTTCAGGACAGAGAGTCAGGGTACAACGAACCCTTCTTCATGGCATACTGTCAGCTGGAACCTGACCCCTGGAGTTTTTTAAAGGGTGGTTTGTCGCAAAAAAAACATTCAGTCCCTGGCGCATGAACCAGGGACTATTCTGGTCCGCCTAGTCAGTTGGCGCCAGCCGCCTGCTCTCGCTCTTCCCCCCCCCCTCCACCCCATCCGGTCCTCTTGACTCTGTCTGAACACCATGCCCAGGTGATTGAGAAGGAGAAAGTGTGTTAGGTTTCGCGAAAATCTTACTCACACGCATGTCACCGTTCCTGCTCCCAGCCTGCTGTGGCGCATACGGCGAACATCGTCAGAATTGACGGCCGTACTGCAGTATGCAGTGGTTTTTTAAGTTCTTCTGCGCGTTCTCCTCAGCGCTCGATTTTGATGTACAGGTGAACTTTTTGTGTCATGGTCGACTTTGTTATGTCAACCGGCATTTTCTGCCGTACTGAAAGCTAGTCAACACATGCATGTCATGTTGTTGGGTTCAAGCATACTTGTGAACTGCGTCTGCTGTCGGTTATTCCCTTGGCAACGGTCGCATTTTGCACAAAATTGGCATACGTTGATCGGGCCTCGTTGCAGGACTGGAACGGCCGTTTCTGTTCGCCTTGTAACCCTGGTCAAAGGCACCGCTGACGTCAATCAACATTCCTGAAATTTTTTTCCCGTCAACCAGTTACGGGTGGACTGCAGTTCTGGAAGCCAGGGAGGTTTGAAGGGCGGTTTACTTGAGAGAAAGATGCAATCACTGGAACAGGAATTTTATTGGCCTGAGGTTTCGTTCTCACCCGAACCCCTCATCAGAGACGGTCGTCAGTATAGGTAGCGGAGGAACAAGGAATGCAGTATTTGTAGTACGTAGCTGCCGTGGTACCACATGCATCCTTTAAGTAACAGCTCTTGCGATCATTGCTGGGGGTTGTAGTTAAGGCGATGGTGGTTTGCCAGTTCGCGCCCGAATAGTTAATTACCGCAGTTTCACCATCCTTGTTGCATGTTAGCGTTATGATTAATCGGCAATTTGGACGATGTCATTGGGAATGTTTCTCATCCGTGCCCTCCCCACGTGACTGATTCCCTGCCCAGGGAGACTTTTAGCACCGATTAAGGCAACGGGGGGGTCATTTAATAAACAAAAAATATATTTTCTGTGCCATCCGTCGATCTGTGCAACAGGCTGTTGTTTCTTAATTTCGTCAAAAAATTAGCTGCTACCTTGAGGAGATCAGTTTATACTATGTGCTACAGACGCAGACAGAAAATGGATGTATGAATCTTTAGGTCCATCGTCCACAGCGGGATGACCGCATAATATTCATTACTGCCAACGGGCGACTGGCAGTATATTTTAGCGCTTGAAGATACCATGCTAACAGCACAGCTACCAGCCAAAAGCCCAGATTCGCGTGTTCCGTGGATATTCTGCCGCTGCATGGCACAGTTGCAAGGGAGTCAACTATGTATGCGCTAAAATATACTACTAACTGCCTGTCGGCAGTTAATGAATATTACGCGGCCATTCCCAATGTGGTTGATGGACTTCAACTTAGGGATTCATACATCAAAATACGGACTGCGTCTATAGACCTTAGTATGAACTGATGTTGTCAAAGTTAGCAGTTAAGTTTTCGAGGAACTTGAAGAACAACAATCTTTAAACTGGAGCATCTTCCAGAAAGCACACGATAAATGCTAGTGGGCTCACTGAAGAGCCGAACCCCTCGCAGCTATGCAATGCAGCGGCAGAATATCGGCGAAACACGCGTGTCTGGGCCTTTATAATGCATGACAAATCCAAAAAGATTATCGAATGCGTTTTAGGCTCGGAAGTATTACTTAGGTGGGGTTTTAATATTGATTAGCATGCAGCATAATCCTATAATATCGGACTCGCAAGGATATCGATTTCTGCATGTGCTTCTTTGTGACCTCATGCAGAAACCACACTCGGCAGAAACATGGCTACTAAAGTAGCGTGCTTTATTCGTATTGATTTTGATATATTTTTTAATGAATAGAGAAATGTGTGATTCCCCTTAAGCGGAAAGCAAGCACCTTATAGACTGAAATCGCTAAACGCTGATGCAATAGCAGAGCAGCCTTAAAACTATTCGCGAATTAAGGAAATTTTTTAAAACCGAAATATACATTCTCCTCAGGCATAAAATATGCAGACAATTTGATTTTTTGCCAAGCGAGTAAAGAGGCATATGTTCGTGCATGTTTCTATAAAATATATTTGAATTTACAAGATTATCCAAAATCAATAGGAATAATGCATGCTACTTCAGTAGTCATTTTTTACACGGTGTGGTTTCTGCGCGAGGTCAAAAAGAAGTGCATTCAAAAGCCGACATCCTGGCGACATATTATAGGATAATGCTGCATGCTAATCAATATTACAACCCCACCCAGGTAATCCTTCCTAATCAAAAACGCATTCCAGAATTTTGGCCAACATTTCTTGACATCGGTCACGCACTGTATTTAATGCCTGGCCTGTTACTGCGGTATCTTCAAATGCTAAAATGCAGTAGACCGTTAATCTACTAAGCTGCTACTTGCATAAGGAGATGTTGCAGATCCCTACAGCCGCTTAACCTTCTAAATCATTACTCCTGATTGTTGGTCAATATAGGACCGCCTTCTGCGAGGGTCAAATGATGAAATTTGACGCATTATTTGTGATTTGTTGAACCAGATCCGCAAGATCATTAAACGAATAATCTTGGCAAATGACTAGCCATGAACTTTTAACTAGGCGGCTTCTTTGCTTCACTCCTGGGACTAACTCGAATGCAAAGTTAAAGGCTTTCCGTTCCGTTCCTTTGCCACTGAACCATAGAAAGTGATGAGTAAATTATTAGAAGCTTCACCAGCTTTTGGGCTTGTTAAACCCAGCGTCGACATTTGGTAAACTGTTATTTCCCCTTAAATCTCGAGTGTGGTGTAGTCAGCGCAGTTGCGCGGCAGAAATACCAAATCCAGTGACAAAGGAAGTATTTCACAAAAAGGCCTCTTGTGTTCAGAGTGAATATGTCGCAAAAATACACTACTTTTATTTTTGTTCCACTATTTGCTTTTTCATTCTTTTCAGTGCCCTGTTGAGGTATTATCTAAAACGTTTTTGTAGCAGCGGCTCTGAAAACTTTGCGAGCGTAGGAGGAAAGCAGAGAAGTAAAAGCAGTTGGAAGAAGATTCTTAAAAGTCCAAAAGCCTATGATATCTATTTTGAAATTGCCTTACTGTCTTGTTTGTAACATCCGTTCCACGATTTATTTGAAGGTACAATTCCTCCGTGAACTTTAGGGACTTCCTAGTGTACGACTCGACCTCTTCCCTGAAATTGAGATATTTTCGACTTTTTCCTTCCTTATGGATATTCGTAATTGGAGTTATCAGTGGTTTCTTAGGTGCTAGGAAATCTGCCGATAAAGCGCATATTCTTAAAGATTGTCTGCAAAGTTGAAAGGACGTGATAGTTTCGTGATTTTTCCATCTCGCTCACATAAAAAATGCCCGGAGCTTTTCGAATTTATGACATTAATCCCTTGCTTTTTTAATAACTTATTGAGGCGGCGAGCGGGTTAGCTGCAAAGCGGGTAGAACAAAAGTGTTTGGTTTTATTATTCATTTAACGACTTCCTACCGACAGAGGAAATAACTTGATGTAGCTGTTGTGTACGTCGGTGCAGT